GGGTGTGAAAAGAAAAAGTAATATTTCAAAAAAGACAAACGTGTATATTTTTTCCATCTCCACAGTTCAATCAGATAAAGCATTTCATTTAATAAGTCTATGACTTGGTAACACCGTCTAGACGAGAATGAGCAGCCCCCGAAATCGGAAGTATCATGAATATGATAACGAACTTAATCCCACGCTTAGCTCAAGCGAAAACCTAAAGATGATCCATCTCGAGTAATATGTTTAGTAGAATAAAGTATGGGGAGATAGTGGATCTCGGAAAATAATGAGAATGAGTAAAAATTGCCAAGCACATTTCTTGATCAACCCCTAAGTAGAGCCTCGTTGGAGCCGGGGCAACCCGATATCCCCGTATAGGCAAATCTTTTAACATCCTTAGTCTCACTGGCTAAATTTCAAACGTTTGCTCGGCGCGAGTTTGCCGACTCGTAAATTCTTATCTTGCAGATCCTCCAGCCAATCACAACTACCCAACCACAAGTACCTGGGCCAGGTGAAGGGTAACTGATAACAAGCCAGCACCAACCAATGACCGACATCATGTATACTCCTAGTCGAAACCTTCTTTTCACATCGAAGTGACTTTTGACAGTGCTCCCACAGGACCTTCTCTAATTATAGCGGATCCTGACGGTATCCCTGCCTTGCGCGCCATGGCATTACGAGAGCATGCTCTTATCTGCAATCAACATGCAGCAACCCTATCTAAGCTCATATCAATCTTGGAAGGATCGTCCTGTGTTTTAAGTGCGAATTCGGAGCTGGGGTCCACTCCATGCTTTTGATGCTGTACGTCTTGGTCCTATATGAGATTGTCACCTGCCGGGAGCTTGATACATACTTCCATGTCAAGCTATATAAGGCGTACGCTCCATATCGATTGGAGCATTAGTCGCTGATCCCTAATTCGAGGTACATCGCCAACGTCTTTCACATTTCTTCCTTTGTTGCCGGCTATAAACCCTGTGGAGTCCTTCTTCACGTCTACGATATGCCGTCCGACGGGGTTATTTTCACGGCGCCTTTGTCCCAGAGCTTTGGATATGGGATCATCCTGGGACTAGGCTTTGCCTTTGCCCTGCTGATGATCTTTATCACTTGGGCTTTGAAACGGTGCGTCTCTATGTCTCAGTCTATATCAGTCACATAAACTGACAAAAATATCTCTATACAGCTATCAGAATGAAGTCCAAACCTCCGAGATGTTCTCAACTGCAGGTCGATCCGTCAAATCAGGACTGGTTGCTGCCGCCGTTGTCAGTAGTTGGACATGGGCTGCAACCCTTCTCCAGTCGTCTGCAGTCGCATACAAATACGGTGTCTCTGGGCCATTCTTCTACGCATCAGGTTAGTTCTCGTATGGGCATGACCCGAAAAACCCTATATCTAACATGTTGGGTATCAATAGGCGCCACTGTTCAGATTCTCCTGTTCGCAACACTAGCTATCGAGCTGAAACGCCGTGCGCCGAATGCACACACTTTCTTGGAAGTCATCCGCGCTCGCTATGGAACCCTTGTACATATCGTGTTTATAGTCTTTTGCTTGATGACCAACGTCCTGGTTACTGCAATGCTGCTCACCGGTGGATCGGCCGTGATGACATCCTTGACTGGAGTACCCACTGCGGCAGCTTGCTTCCTGCTCCCGATTGGCGTGGTACTATACACCCTCTTCGGTGGTATCAAGGCCACTTTTATCACGGACTACTTGCATACTGTGGTAATCCTGGTCGTCATCTTACTCTTCGCCTTCTCCGCCTATGCCACAAATGCCCAGCTAGGATCTCCATCAAAGGTGTATGATGCACTAGTTGCAGCCTCCCAGCGTTACCCCGTTGAAGGTAACGCGGACGGCAGCTATCTAACCATGCGCTCTAAGGAGGGTGGTATTTTCTGGATCATCAACTTAGTTGGAAACTTCGGCACAGTCTTCTTGGACAACGGTTACTACAACAAAGCTATCGCCGCCAGCCCCGTCCATGCATTTCCCGGATACGTGATTGGCGGCCTTTGCTGGTTCGCAATTCCCTGGCTATGCGCAACCACAATGGGCCTCTCCGCACTGGCACTAGAGGGCTCCCAGCGTCTGAGCTCCAACGACGTGTCTGCTGGGCTAGTGCTCCCCTTCGCAGCTGTCAAGCTGCTCGGCTATAGCGGTGCCGTCGCCACAACACTGATGATCTTCATGGCTGTGACATCCGCGTTCTCGGCGCAGCTGATCGCCGTCTCTTCGATCTTCACCTACGATATCTATGCGGCCTACATTGATCCCAGCGCCAAGGGTAAGAGACTCGTCTGGATTTCGCACATGTCCTGCATCGTCTATTCAATCATCATGGCGGCTTTTGCAACTGGTCTCTACTACGCCGGCATCGGTATGGGATATCTTTATCTGCTAATGGGCGTGATCATCTCTTCCGCCGTCTTCCCCGGCGCCATGACCCTTCTCTGGAAGGGCCAGAACCGCATCGCAGCCGCCTTATCACCACCCCTCGGCCTGGCAGTCTCCCTCATTGCCTGGCTAGTGACCGCAAAGAAACAATACGGAGTCCTAACCGTCGACACCACCGGCGCCAAGTAAGCATTTCCCTCCCAACATCCTTACTACAAATCCAAACTAACAAACCCCTCCAGTTACCCCATGCTAGCTGGTAACGTCGCCGCCCTTCTCAGCCCATTAGTCTTCGTCCCCATCCTCACATACGCCTTCGGCCCACAAAATTACGACTATGAATCCATGCGCGCAATCCGCAAAGTCGACGACACAGAAGTCGCTGCCGCCGCCCACATCGACCTCGAACTAGTTCCAGGCGAGGCAGGACCCACCCAAGCCGAGAGCGAAGAAGAAACGCGTCTGCTCAACCGCTCCGCTCTCTACGCCCGCACGCTGACAGTCTTTATGGCATTTGCCCTCCTTATCCTCTGGCCGATCCCTATGTATGGGACATCGTATGTGTTTAGCAGGAAGTTCTTCACGGGTTGGGTTGTTGTTGGGATTATTTGGTTGTTCTTTACCTTGTTTGGTGTCGTGGTGTTCCCGCTATACGAGGGACGGGCGAGTATTGTTCGTGTTGTGCGGATGATGTCCCTTGATCTTGTCGGGAAGAAGCCCAAGATTTACCGCGGTACGAGAGCTGGGGCTGACGATACGACTACGCCTTCTGGGGTTGCGACGCCGACGGAGGTGCATGGGGAAAAGGATAAGCAGGGCTCCGAGAAGGAGATTTGAGGATCTGGTGTTACCTTTGGTGCTTTTTTTCCGCGTCTTGGCCTTAGTTTGATATCTTGTTTACGGCTATTTATACCCCTACTGCTACCTAATTTATCTGAATTTGGAATTCGTCCACTTTATCACCGTGTGTTCCTTCATTTACAAGTGCTTTGCCTTTTGAGCGCGTCACCCACCCTAATACTTGATTGGTTCTTCTCATTACAACCATGTATATTCATTGCGAGGAAGGGAACAAAATATGTCAGGCTGATCAAATGAAAAGTTCCAGATCACATAGCAAAGAAAAACAAAATACAAAGTCACTCAACGCGAAAGGGTGAATCCGCGGTATTAAGCTGGGACATGTGTCTCCTGCTAACCCCCTTTCTGCCTCACATACCTGCAGCAATTGCTGCATCCTCGTGCTAGTGGAATTTAAATATCCCTGTAAACTCATTTATATCCAAGTCCACCCTGCGCTTGAGGGGGAGGCTGCAGAGGGGGTGGCTGCTGCCAGCCTGCTTGGGGCCCGGGAGGCGGCTGAATGCCATATTGCATGCCCGGGGGAGGTCTTGTGTCAGGCGTGATGTCAGGCCGGTCACTGATGCAAGAATTATTAGTATATCCTACCAAGTCGATAGAATTTGATCATATCTGGGTCAGGGCCTACCGTAGGTCTTGAGTGAAACGACATGTGTAGCATTGGACCTCCTATATAGCACGTTAACAACAGAGTCAAGACGTGATCGGTAGAAGCCTATTTACCTTGTACTTGTGCATCGCAAGAGGAATCAATGGCTGCAGCGAGGTAAACGTTAGTTATCTTGAGCTGTTTCTCAAGACGATGTTCAGGCGAGCATCAACTTACAATGAAACAGACAGTGAAAAACGGCCTTCAGAAAGTATTAGTCAAGTTCAAACTACTATGGTCAGGTAATCCGGGGTAGAAACATACCATCGGGTGATGCAGTGACCATTCCAATGTTGGCCTAAAGCGGAGTATAAATAAATCGTCCGTGACTAGACCCCTTGACGTCAGAACTTACAATTGTAACAGTAGGCGCGAACATGCTCATAGCCCTCAAGCCGAGACGAGAACTCTGTGGGTATAGTTAGTACCCTGTTCAATATGACCGGATATATCTCAGCGTCGACAGAACGGATACTCGTCACTCGATATAACTCCAGGGACAGGGTCCACTCTGGTTTCTGGATCGTGGGTCAAACCATGACGACTTACCATGCGTTCCAAACGTGATGCAGAAAGCCATGGTGAAGGCAAGAAGTGTAAAAATTGGCACACAACTACTAAAGAGAGTAACCGAAAGCTGAGAGCTATTTGAGGAATTGAAGATCCCTCAAAGACGAAGGCAGCTGCATTGGGTGTGTGGCGCTGTGGCTTGGCGCCATCTTGGCAAATATCAACACGTGATGTCAGATATCGCGGCGTGTGATTGGTCAAGTGATGGGTCAATCGCCTGTATCAAAACATGTGATTGTCGATTCCAGCAGGTACCGTAGACTATCGGCGATTATACGTATACCTTTAGTCTAGTGTATGAAGCCTTTACGGAGAGTCTAAACTCGGGCAATTATACTTTTGCTTGTTTTACGTATTTTGGGTTGACGCGCTTAATTCAATAATGGCTGTTCACCAAAGGATAACAGCCCGGTAGACCAAATATTATTTGAAGACAAAATAGTCGCTTGAAAACGCATTCTCCGGATATCACTTCCCTATCGGTGCCGCAAATCGAGCCTAGACATATCAATCGTATTTACTGGGTCTTGAAGAGCAGAATTGCGCAGTGGCCGAGGTAGAAGTAGATGAAGTGCTTGGTCTCTGTCGACACAGGATTAGTGTCTGGTTATCAATATAAGGGTTGTGGAATCGACGAACCATGAGTGACAAAGCTTCCAAAGTTGCGGCCAACCACGCAGTGCCAGGAAGCGCCTTTGCGCGAGTCGAACTGATGTATGGGGTTAGAAATGCGATCGGGGCGGGGTAGGATTGGCGAACCTCTTTCTTGATGTACTGGGCAATATCCTATAGATGGTTATTAACGTATTCATATTTTCGCCTAATTGAGGAGCACGCAAACCTTTTCCACTCTGAACTTCTCCATGGCCTCAATGGCTGAGGGGTAGGTTAGCCTTGTTTACCCAGGGAGCTCTCAATATTCCATACCAAGGGCAATGGCCTCCTGCTGCATATCCTCGGTCTCGAAAGTGGGTCAGAATCAATTGACCACCGTTGTTTCGTATGGGTGTGCTTACCATGTCCACAGACTTAATCTGCGCTGCACGGATCAATTAGCAATTAATCAGTTGGACTCACGAGGGATAAACTTACCCTCCATGGGCTCCTTCTTCTCAGCTGGGGGGAGTGCCATTGTTAGTAATTATTGTATCAAACAAAAACCTTCGAAGGGAAGTTGGTGATGCAATAAAGAAGACGGGGTAGCCTAATTTCGCGATAACATGAAGCCAGGGTAACTTTATTGCCGGTAGAGCAACCAGACCGCCCGCCAGACCGCCTGCGGCACTATGAAAGCAGAGAAAAAAGTTTTTCTCATAGAAACTTCGAGTCTTCACACTCCTCACAACAAAATCCCAAAATGGAGAGCACCAGAGTGTTCGTGGGTGGTCTCCCACCCACATGCACCAATGATCAGCTTAAAAAACATTTTGCTACTCGCTTTCAAGTCACCGATGCTCATGTCCTACCCAAACGTAGGATGGGCTTCGTCGGCTTCAAGAGCCATGAAGCTGCTCAGCAAGCTGTGAAACACTTCAACAAGACATACATGAAGATGTCAAAGATCGCTGTAGACATCGCTCGTCCGGTATGTCGATTCTCCACTATTTTGCTTCAGCCACTCTCCTTTCGCCTGTGCACGCTGACCAATTAAGGTGGTCTTGAGACTGACCCGTATTATTGCAGATTGATTCAAATGACGCCGAGGATGCTCACCCCACACGAAGACGTGATACCACGAATGTTAATGATGCATCGTTGGATAACAACCTCAAACGCAAGAGGGACGGCGAAAACAAATCAGACCCTAAGCTACAAGAGTACCTTTCTCTAATGGGATCGTCGTCCAAAACTCGGACATGGGCCAATGATGATGAAATGATTAAGCCGTCTGCGGACACCGTTCCCGTTATTAACCAATCCGCGCAGGAAGAAGAGGAGTTGCAAGAGTTGCCCTCACACCCAAAAAAAGCAAAGGTAGAGAAACTGCCAACGGTAGCAGAGCCCGAGCAGCCTGAGCCAATGGCGGTTGACAAGAATGAGGAAGAGGAGGCTCAAGAAACACCAGAACAGGATAACCCCGCGGAGCCTGAAGTGGAGACTGCCCCTGTATCTGATGCAGATTGGTTACGGTCAAAGACGAGTCGTCTGTTGGGCCTTCTCGATGAGGAAGAGCAAGATGAGTTTGATCAGCAGAAGGCCGCCGCATCCACTACTGCGCCGACCAGAGCTGCCAGAGCTGCCTCACCACCTTCCTCTGGCGATGAGTCGCCGCAGCGTGACGAGGAATCGCGCACTGCGGCCATTGAGAAAATTGCGCCCAACACGACTGACGTTGACAGCATCACCGAGGCAACACCGGTAGATCCGAATATTGATCTTATTCGGAACTCCGCTCGTTTGTTCATCAGAAACCTTGCATACGACATCACAGAATCGGATCTCCAACCGATTTTTGAACGGTTTGGAAAGATTGAAGAGGTTAGTGCTTTTTTTTCTTTCCCTTTTTTCACTTTACCCCGCCGTATCTCTCACCGGCTAGCTGGCTTTCAGCCTGCTAGCCACGAGTGCTCAAATGATGATTTTCCCGATAGGGACATCCGATGCAAATTGCAAATGATGTTACAAGGACAAGATATTTTAGTAGATGCTTCTTGACTATCTGAAAGAGCCAACTCAACCCACTTTTGCACATTTACACATTATATTCATTGAACTTGAGTACTAATTGGATATAGATTCATGTTGCTTTTGACACCCGCTCCACAACCAGCAAAGGCTTTGCTTATGTGCAATACACCGATGCCGATGCGGCCATTGATGCTTACCAGACTCTTGATGGAAAGCATTTCCAGGGTCGCCTGCTCCATATCTTGCCGGCGTCTGCGAAGAAGACCTACAAGATTGACGAGTACGAATTGTCAAAGCTTCCTCTCAAAAAGCAAAGGGAGATCAAGCGGAAACAAAACGCCGGTTCATCTTCGTTCAGCTGGAACTCCCTATATATGAACGTGAGTTTATCTTAACTAATCACGGATGAAAACATTGAGACTAATTTTCATACAGGCCGATGCCGTGATGTCATCAGTGGCCGGAAGGCTTGGAGTCTCCAAATCAGAACTGCTTGATCCCACCTCTTCAGATGCTGCTGTGAAGCAAGCACATGCTGAAACGCATGTGATTCAAGAAACGAAAGCCTACTTTGCCTCAAACGGGGTAAATATTGACGCTTTCAAGCAGCGTGAGCGCGGGAATACGGCTATTTTGGTCAAGAACTTCTCATATGGTGTCACATCGGCGGAGCTCAGAAGTCTGTTCGATCCATATGGAAAGATCACCCGACTCTTGATGCCACCGAGTGGCACTATTGCTATCGTGGAGTTTGCGCAGCCTGACGAGGCCCAGAAGGCTTTCAAGGGCATGGCATACCGCAAGATGGGTGATTCCATCTTGTTCCTGGAGAAAGCACCCAAGAATTTGTTCGATGGTTCAGCGGTTCCACGCGCACTTGCTCCAGAGACTCGGGGCAAGGATCAAGGATTCTCAACTGCGGACACATTTGCTGCCGATGAGCCTGATGACAGCGTAGCAACTACGACACTATTCGTAAAGAACCTTAACTTCTCAACCACCAATGAGAAGTTCTTGGAAGTGTTCCGATCTCTGGATGGCTTTATTACCGGTCGAATCAAGACCAAACCCGATCCCAAGCGACCAGGACAGACCCTCAGTATGGGATTCGCCTTTGCGGATTTCAAAACCAAGGGTCAAGCTCAGGCTGCTATGACCGCTATGAACGGTTACAAGTTAGATCAACACGAGCTTCTCATTCGTGCATCCCACAAGGGCAAGGATGCCGCCGAGGAGCGGAGACGCGAAGATACCGCGAAGAAGGTTGCGGCGCGCAGAACCAAAATCATCATCAAGAACTTACCGTTCCAGGCCACCAAGAAGGATATCCGATCCCTATTCGGGGCTTACGGACAACTTCGGTCTGTGCGTGTTCCTCAAAAGTTCGATCACACTGCTCGTGGTTTCGGTTTTGCGGACTTTGTAAGCGCTCGCGAAGCGGAAAATGCCATGGACGCGTTGAAAAACACGCATCTCCTGGGGAGACGACTGGTTTTGGAGTTCGTGAACGAGGAGGCCGTCGATCCCGAGGAGGAGCTCGCGCGTCTAGAAAAGAAGGTAGGAGAACAGATGGACAGGGTCAAACTTCAACAGCTTACTTCTGGCGCCGGGCGCAAGAAATTCACTGTAGGAGGGCAGGAGGAAGAGTGAAGGCCTCGTCCCTTCTCCCTACAAGGACACGGCCATGGATTGGCTCGTTAACAACCCTTGCAGGGAAAAAGTGGATTAATGTACCGTGTACGATTACTTGCATACTACCATAGCTACATTATGGCAATAAAAAGATACCCCGAATACTTCTGAACACGTTCTTTGCGGCTGTCAATTAATTACCCTGCAGTCCCGTCCTCGTGCGTCTCGTGCCCTCTTGATCCAGGCGTAACTGCAACCCTACTTTACCTGTGCAACACCTTTTTTTTATTCTTCCCCACAACTTCAGCTAAACTGCACCTTGGATTGCAGGGTCATTTTACCTAATTTAGCTTGCTCTTCTGATGGCACGTAGGACTACACAGAGATCAGCCAAACCTGCATTCCGGGTGCTTTCTGGCGGTGGTCAAGCATTCCAGGTCCCGTGCGAGAAGACAATGTCGTTGGACCATCAACATTCCTGCTACGCCATGATTGCCACTGATTGTTGTCGTTTTTTGTTGTTGCTGGTCCAAATAATGGGTGTTCAAGGTCACTTCGCGCTGCCCAAAATCTCCGACCCACTCATCACTGGATCGTGCTGCTGAGCATCCCTTGCATCCTGGACCAACTTCCCTTCATATCGAGCCCTTTCTTGACTCCTGATTTGCTGCGGCAAGGTCGGCTTGCCGTCGTCCTTTGGTTCCCTGCTCTCCACACGACGCCTGGACGTGCGCGGGCCAGGACTAGGACCTGCCCAGGAGTATGGACAAGGCGTTCGAGGGACCGTAGGCCAGGCAAAGCAGACCTGGCGGAGCAATGTTGCTACTGGGGCTACAGAACCCCTCTCCAAAGGGGAGTTATGGTTCCCTATAAACACCATCTTGCTCGCTCTCACATTCTCTTTCCCAGGTTCTTACATTCTCTTGACATCTTGCGTTCTTTGGGTCGTTGTTTGTGACTGAGCTGCGTTCTTTGCCAGGCAGTAAGCATTTGACGGTGCCTCTCAGTCCCTCCCTCACCGGAATCTGTCATTCTTTTCGAGAAGCCCGTCCTTGGTACCCTCCCATGGCTACTGACTGGCAACCCGAGTGCCTTGTCACTCAGAACCAGTCATCACTGGATCCCGTTGGAGCTCATTCTGATCGAGCTTTGCAGAATACCACTGGGAATGTCCAGTCTTATTCAGACCATTTGACTCATGCTGATATCGCTGCTCGTGAGGATCAACTCCATCAGCTTGGCTTCAAGTATCCACATGCCCCTCACCCTTCTCAACCCTTGTCGGCGCCTGGCTTGAATCAGCAGCATATAGCCGCTCGACTTCATCAACGGAAACTTCGCAGGCTTCACTCGGTTGGACCTAATTCTCAATCTCGCCGGGCAGGAAGCAGCTATCTCAAGTCCCAGAAGTACTTGGAATACCGGTCTCGTCCTCGTCGTGATACTGGCAAGGATGGAGAGGCGGTGTGGTCTGATGTGTTGGAGGACGCTTTCCAGCAGGGTAAGTCTACCACCACCATAGTGATGCATGGACTTGAAGCTAACAACCGATTTCAGCCCTCGAAGCAAACCCTCCTATGGGTCGGAGAAAGTGGTCCGAACGGGGCAAGTCATATGGCCGCAACGAGCTGATTGCCGAGTACATTTTCAAATTGACTGGCAAGCGGAGGACTCGCAAGCAGGTGTCAAGCCATCTACAGGTCCTCGACTCTTTCTTGAAGGGTGATCCCGATTGTGAGTTGTCCAATATGAAGGATGTTTACTGTTTACCTATTCTATTTACTAATACACCATGTTAGGGGAGCGACTTGTCCGCGAGGCAACACCAGAGCGATCATCGAGTGTGCATGGGTCAGCACCCGCTCCCAAATGGAGAACGGCAGTGGAGCACCCTTCGGCGTCCAGCCACTATGGCAGTCACACACACCCCTCATACCATGACCACATGAGATCCATGCAGCCATATGCTGGAGATCTCCCACCGCCACACTATACCCTTGGCTCCAATATGCAGGAGACTGCTGCTAGCACCATTCATGGCTTTAGCTTTGACATGTGGGTCAGCGCTCCTCAGCAGGCCAATCGCATTGACAAGGCATTGCATGCATACACTCGTCTACAGGGGGATCTGCACCACCCCGTTCAACCGCCCATGCCTCTTGAGCATGTCCCCGGGTGGCGGTCCTCGTTCCCTCACCTGGCCTCCATGGTGGATGACATCAACAATCCCCTGGACTGTGAGATCATCTTGTTAGAAGTGAGCCTTCAGCTCATGACCGACTTCCCTCCTGCGAGATCACGGCTGGGAATTCAGCTCGACCTTGACTACGGTCACCCTACTGCTGGTGATGTGTGGGGAGTCAGCCAGATGGACAACTGGACCTGCAACACACATATTTATGAAGATGGCGAGCAGATCCAAGACTCTTACCACGACCTACCCAAAACCCAGTCGACTAAGGTCAAGCCTCTCTTCGAATCATCTTGGTGGGCTAAGGTATTCACCAAGTGGACCCAGGAGAAGCGTATGGCCGAGGACACGGGAAACCCCCAAGCTGCCCGCGAAGCTGACGAGCGTACCCGTCAATTCTTCCGTTCCTTGTCTGCAGTACAAGAGCTTCGTGCCACTTCGCCCAGCTCTCGCCGGCTTTCTAATCAATACCAAGGCCATCACGGCGATGAGAGCAAGCGCATGGCCATTTTGGCCTGGAAGTTCCGACAAACCCGGCCCGGCGAAGTTGGCACCACTACTTGGAGACGACTAATCCCGCCTCCCGACCGGACTACAACCAACAGCCCGCGCCCAACCTCTGGGGTGGATCTTCCTCCTCTCTCTCTGGATTCGATCCTTCTCAGCAAACCATCCCACCAGGGTGTCTACCAGGCCCCTCAGCCTCACGACCTAATCCACCACCCGAGCCAATCCCACTCGCAATGGCCCATGTACCAATCATCCCACGAGAACGTGGGCAATCTCTTTAATTCCTCCAACCAGCTCGACTTCATGACATCCATCAGCAAAGCCGAAGATGGCCTCAACGACAAAACCGCCGTCACCTCCGTGCTGGACTCCTTCTCCACCAGTCTCGCACCCGAGAGCAGCCAATCCACAAGCCTCCACGGCTCCAGCGGCGCACCAGTCATGCTCAACGTGCACGACATGCCGCTCTCCCACCCAGGGGTGGGCTACACAATGGGCCACGAAACATCCCACTACGTGCCATCTCAACAGCACAGTGTGAACATGCACGACAACAACAGCGTGCTACATGGCTTCTTTGCCTCCAACACCCAGCCCCTTGATGATCTCAGTCACGGCCAGGCCTCATGGGGTGCGCACTCCACATCCATGCCCGGGGATGTTGGCCCCGGCAGTTACCACCTTCCTTACCAGCCGGAGCACCACGGATCTGTATCACGCGAGTCGCAGCAGCCACACCATTTCGACAACATCTTGCCGTCGGAGGACCTAATGGATAAGATTGTCGGGCGCATGTCCAATGGTCCCAGCATGCATGGGGCGGGCCCCGATGCGAGCTCGGGCTATGATAACGCCACGGTGGATGCGGTATAACGACATTTTTTTTTTCTACAAAAAACTATAATGATAATCTTAATCATTCTGGAAGGGTTTTTGTATTTTTCTGTGATTTTTTTTTCTTTCTTTTCTGTTGCGATAGGGGGGATATCAAGGAACTGGGCGTTTGGAGAAAATGGAATATTGCTGGAATAATTGATAATAGGAATATTATACACCAATCATTTACTTCTATTTGGCTATTTAGCATGTCGGCTAAACTCACCAAATCAGCCACTTTAGCCGCAAAACAACTTCACCGGTGGGGCAATTCTGGGGATTTCCAGCAAAGAAGGCCAAAGGGAGGCGATGGCAAGACCAATCGAGCTATATTCGGCTGATTTAGCCTGGATCTTTACATTTTACGCCTCGTGCCTTGGAGATAATTTGAAAACTACCCGCGGGGTCCATATATACCCCTCCATGTCCCCCAATTTCTAGATTCTTTTTTCTCTAGATTTATTTATACTACATTCACAATGGTTGCCCCTACCGTCAAGCTTAACAACGGCTTTGAGATGCCCCTTGTGGGCTTCGGCCTCTGGAAGGTCAACAACGACACTTGTGCCGACCAGATCTACAACGCCATCAAGGCCGGTTACCGTCTGTTCGATGGTGCCTGCGGTACATACACCCTCCTTCAACAAAGCCCTAATTGACACTAACACCATTATTCTCAGATTACGGCAACGAAGTCGAGGCTGGCCAGGGTGTCGCCCGCGCCATTAAGGACGGTCTCGTCAAGCGCGAGGAGCTCTTCATCGTCTCCAAGCTCTGGAACAGCTTCCACGAGGCCGACAAGGTCGAGCCCATTGCCCGCAAGCAGCTCGCCGACTGGGGCGTCGACTACTTCGATCTGTACATCGTGCACTTCCCCATTGCCCTGAAGTACCTCGACCCCTCCGTGCGCTACCCCCCAGCTGGACCACCGCCGAGGGCAAGATCGAGCTCGCCAACGCTCCCATCCACGAGACCTGGGGCGCCATGGAGACCCTCGTCGACAAGAAGCTCGCTCGCAGCATCGGTGTCAGCAACTTCAGCGCCCAGCTGCTGATGGATCTGCTCCGCTACGCCCGCATCCGCCCCGCCACCCTCCAGATCGAGCACCACCCCTACCTCACCCAAACCCGTCTCGTCAACTACGCCCAAGAGCAGGGCATCACCGTTACTGCTTACTCTTCCTTCGGTCCTCTCAGCTTCCTCGAGCTTGACCTCAAGCACGCCCAGGATACCCCCTTGCTCTTCGAGCACGCTACTATCACCAGCATTGCTGAGAAGCATGGCCGTACCCCCGCTCAGGTCCTCCTGCGCTGGTCTACTCAGCGTAACATCGCTGTTATTCCCAAGAGCAACAACCCTACTCGTCTTGCTCAGAACTTGACTGTCACTGACTTCGACCTTGAGACCTCCGAGCTTGAGGCTATCAGTGCTCTGGACAAGGGTCTTCGTTTCAACGACCCCATTGCTGTAAGTTTGGTACCTGCGGAGTATTGAGTATTAATACTGACTGTTTTTTTCTTCTAGTACGGCCTTGGAATCCCCATCTTCTAAGGGTGTCCAGACTCGGCCTGGGAGACGGAGAAGAACCCGTGTCCGGACACGGGAATTCTCCGCGATACTTTGACGACTTTTATGCCTCGGATAAATTAAATAAAACATACGATTTTCAGTTTTTTTTTTTTCAATCTACAGATCTTCCACGTTAGAGTAGCACACAGCTAGATAGACAGACCAGGCCGAGTAAATGTCAACGGCTCAGACTTATGTCAGGGCATGTGATCATTGGTGACTGCTTTACGGAACGTTTCTCAATTTCTAGGTAGAATGGACTAATCCGTGCTTAATTCGGAAAAAAGAACGTCTTCCGGTCTACCTATCGCTTTGCCTCTCTTGATCGGTGCCAGTTCAACACTCCACCTTATGTTATCACTCCCCACACTCTTCTATTCATTGATATTCCGATCGTGGAGAAATGATACTCGACTCTCTGAGATCCCCAGACAGAACACTCTAGCTGGTCTGCCTATCGAGCTATTGCTGTCAATAGCCGATTTCCTCCGGTTGATGCAATCTGCCTTTCCCTTTGCAACCGTCGACTCTTTGTTACGTTTCACCTGCGGAATCATTTTATCAAACTTCCCCTTTTGAATCGCCTGAAACGAGATCGACCGAGTTACTTTATCTGCTACGTTTGTCACTGCCTCCACAAATATGATGCGTCTCAAGACTTTGGTCCCCGCTCGATCTTCGAGAATAAAGCCTATCCTCTTTCATGCTTCAAAAAATGGGGGGGACTACCAGGCATTAGAGTTGCAATTGAATGCGAGTCCGTATTGCAATGTCTCGTACGTACTTTACTTCCTGCATCTACAGCTTGCCTTGAGGAGTTTCTATTATGACCCGCACTTTGGAATCAACACAGAGACCATATGCTACACTCTAGTTCAATGCTACCCCAAAAAGTCCGCTAGCCTTTAAGTATCCGCCCAAGTAAGCTCTAAAAAGGATGGGCTCATATGCTGTTTTCATTTCGTTTCATTTCGTTACGCTTTGTTTTAGCTTGATATTCAAAGCACTACCTATACCGATATCTATCAAGGAAAGTATTTAGCCATTTGGAACAAAATGGATCTGACATAGGAATAGTCTAATCCAAAGGAAGGCTTATCAATATCCCGCATCAGTTGAGCTATCCAAGAGTCCACTTCTTTCTGGTCAGCTGAACCACCGGATCTCCTTTCTCCTGCAAATTCCACCCTGCGGTCATCTCCAACACCTCCACGTATCCAAGGGACTCAAATCGGTACACAACCTCCCCATTTACACGGTCTTCATCGGAAGGACCAGAAATAAATGCAGCCGGCATAGGCTCCCCGGGAACCACTGAAGTCTCAGCACGCCAGAAGAGGACATAGAGTCGATCATGCAGAATGTTTTCAGACACTGTGTCGAGTTCATCTGATCGACTCATTAGACCTTCATCGTGTCGCGAGATTTCAACTCTACACACGACCCCATGTTCCATCTCAACGGCCACAATCATTCTCTGGGTTTGCTGTCTGGTACAGTCCACCGGCAACGCAAGCCCGGGATATTCCACAATGAACCCATTCTCACTGACATTCCCAGGAGTCATGTCGTCAAATTTAACATCCAGCCGTATGGCACCATTATCTCCGAACCGATTAACAGCCCACCGCCAACCGGGCTGCCGCATCCTCGGCCCGGCGAGAAACAACATCCCCTGCGGCAGCTGCGATTCCGTCGACAAAAAGGCATGCATGTGGTCTTCAAAAGGAATACCCTTCAGTAAAGACGTATCCCACCCAATAAGGCTGGCAAAGCAGAGCATCTCATCCGTCACTTTACTAGTGGAGCGATGCAAGGAAGCACTAAAAGCCTCCATAATTGCATAGCACCGCTGTTGCCCGGCCGTGGAAAGAGAGTCGACTGAAGACTGTACGATTCTCGGATCTGGGTCCCGAAGGATATTCGCCCGCAACAAGCGAAACTTCCAACCAAAAGAGTCGGCATCACGCATGGGTGTTCCATACGAGTTCAAATAAGGTGACAATTCAGATGTTTTAACCTGTTTCCTATAACTTTCTGAAGTAGCTTGAACGTCCATAATGCCATCTGCGTATTTGACGCACAGTCGATTTGCCAGAACGCCTTCGTTAAGTGTCCAGAGTCGGCGCATCCAGGCGGACATTCGAATCCGCATGAATGACTGCGTGTAGCCGCGGGTGGAACATTCTTGGATATCGGAATCTAGGACTAGTACACGGAAGGCTCGCTCGTAGACGGCTTTCATCTCTTTGATTGCCTTTGAGCGGAGCTCGCGGTGTTCTGGGGCCACGGGGATACACATAGTGTCGATCCAGAATGAGATAGAAGGTCCACGGAATTTCTTCTTCCATAGGTCTCCGAAGGCCAGTCTGTTTACCAGGTCGACAGACCTGATTCCCGACAATAGTTCGTCGAGTAAGTCTCTAATACGGAGTAGCTGACATGTAGGGAGAGTATTTGCTGTCGCGTTCCCCAGTCCGTCAGACCAGACATGAGAGAGGGCGATATAACGTTTCAACCCAGAGTACCTTTCTACTTCAATTTTGAGATAGGGCTCTTTCTTGGTCGGTGTAATGGACAGCAGTGGCACATCTCCCGATGCAATAATTGATACCACCTCGTCCATTGCGGGGCCTAGATGCTGACAGTCACAGTCCGCCTTCGTGTGTGCAGTGCGGTAGGTTGTTTCGTTGATCTGTCGCGCAACGCAGAGTTTCCTCGTACATTCACCATGGTCTCTTTGGACCGCAGATGGCGGCCTCTCCATTTGAGACGTATAGTACGCCGATGCAGACGTAAACGTGTTTTCCACTATGACGATTTCGCTTGGACACCACCCCATCTGTTGCATGCGCGCAAGTGGAAACCATGCACAGGGAAACTGTAACCCCGAGGTTTTCACCGCCGATCCCAGCCCCCCAGACGGAAGGCTCCAGGCTAGACGATGGCTTAGTGCTCTGATAGATAGATCGACTTCGGGAGATAACGGCCACACTGCAAACCCGGGACGTGAGTCACCCGCACATGTCGCTAGACGACAAAATCGGGATACAGTCGTGAGACATTTTGTGATTCGATCACCTATCATCTGTTTGGAAATAGCATCCCCGCCTTGAACTACGGAGGTGATGAACAATGATAACTGTAGAATTTGATCTTCGAGGGATGCACTGGTGATGATTCCATACGCTGTGCCTTCTTGCGGCTTAACGTAATTATCCTTGGCTCCTTTGATTATAGGACCGAAGACTTCCCAGAGGACACCGAAATATAACCAGTTCTGTAGAAAGGCGCCAGTTGGCTCGGCGGGGTGTTGTGAGAAGTCTCCGGCAAGTAACCGGGTAATGTCCCAACCCGCGCGCTCTGGGTAGGTTGAGAAGTCGATTCCATCGTAGGGCTCGGGGCTCAGACAAGGGACTTGAATGGGGGCATATTGAGAGCCTGGGACACTTTCTATGTGGTCCATTTGGAGAGTATTGAAGGAGAGAGATAATCAGGGCACGAAGGTGTGGGGCGGACGATACGAGCCAGGATTCTCAGCCCCCACGGGCTGACCACTTCTGTATAGTATAGGTCTCATTTGCGGAGAGGATATGTGGATATCCATGAATATTGAAGATGTTGTCGCAGCCTACTAGTGTAGCTATAGGATCTTGGTATGTCTATATTGTTTGTTACCCAGCTTGGGTTCCGGCGAAGCCTATGGGCTTCAGCAAAAGGATGGTCAATTTGATGGATTTTTAGTTGCTGGCGCTAGCATCACAGAATAAATGGCTAATAAGTGACCTATGTGTCACGTGCTCAAGTCTTATTTCTGCCTCTATTTCCAGGCCGTAAAGGTGGTCTGTGCGCTCACTGAGTCTGAGTATGTACTTAACTAGGTACATAGGTTCCACCAAGCCGATCTCGATCCGCCATTTTTGTCCAAACCTCCGTCTTAACTTCCCAACATCTTTTACAATGGTGTCCCCTACTCTAACGCGCATGACTGCGCAGGTTCACATTACCGGCTACCCCATGCCAAAGAACCTAGCCGAAAGCAAGCTGCTATTGGGCGCCCTCCAGAAATTTGGAGAAGTATTAACATACCGCAACCTCAAGGTACGGCGTTCTCCAAATCACTATCCAGACAAGGCCCGACCTAACAATTCCCTTAGTATGACACAACCAACACCTCACCAAACCCCAACCGCCCCATCGTCGCGATCTTCGAGACAGCCGACGCAGCAGACCGCGCGATAGCAGCTTCGCCCATAACCATTCCCCTACCGACACCCACTTCAGCCTCTAAATCTTACCCTTCGACCTCTATTCCATTCACATCAACTACCAATTCACCATCAAATACCCCCTGCTCATTGATCTTCGAAATTCAACACTCGCGCCATAACCACGCCTCCGCCCTCAAACGAAGCCCCTTCTACTCCACCTACAACCTCTTCAAAAATAACCCCGTCTACGAAGATCTGATCAGTGAAGAGACGGGTATCCCGCTCAAAGAACTGGCTGATACGCTGTCGAGCAAGAAATATCCTATCGGCGCTGGCGTCAAGTTTAATATTCAAGAGGAGAATCGGCGCATGGGTGCGACGAGTTTGGTGAATATGTGGAAGGAGGGGATGGGTATTGGGATTGAGAATGAGGAGCAGGATTGTGGTGAGAATGGATCTGAGACTGGAAATATCGGTGATGGTATCAGAGAGCCCGGGGAGGGATTGGAGGGCGATAAGAAAAGTTCGGTGTTCTGAGTTGGAGACCGGCTTTGGCCTTTTCTTATTGCCTAGATGGTAATAGAGAGGGAGGAACTTTTTTTTTCCATCCTGGACAACTGCTGCGGTTGAAGCCGGGATGGCAAATCCAATGGAAGACAGACCTCGTTGCATTGACCGAGGGCCCAAGACGCGTATGAGATTCCTCTCATGGCATCAAACTCCACAGCCGTGGTTTGCCTTGAAAGATTTGCAGTCAGAACCTGTCTGCTTGGGAGATCTTGTCCCTCGGTCTGGTCTATTGGCTATGATGGTCCCAAGCTTCCTCGATTCATGACATCTATATGGCGAACATGGATCATTTTGCCGGGTAGACTATGTCAACGAACATGTCCCCAGTAACCTTATGAAGCAACTTACCAAATCACCAGGTAGGCCCCTGGCGACCGCAAAAGACAGAGAGAGTCTGTGAATAGGCGGGCCAAGCGATTGTGACTGTGAAATACTTGTATATCAATTCAATTTTATACAAAATGAGATTGATAATTCTCATCTCCTTCCAACGATCCTTCGCCTTCCGCCCAGGCCTCTTAGGCAGGTGGTTTTCTTACTTTCTAGCACGTCATTACATAGAGTTGAATATTTGGTAAACAGAGTTGGAATTGCCAATGTAATGATGGGTAGTTGCTAAAGATAGAAACTCGGTTCGCTGTCCCTCATAATGGCCTCCCAACCCTTCCCATCGTCCTTCTCATGTACTCGGTCTCGCTCATTTCCAGTCACATTCCCATTACCGCACTACTTCACACTTAGATCGGTCATTCATTTCTCAAGCACGATCATGTTGCGCTTTTGGTAGCAGTTTGCACATATGATGTGATTCCATGTGATATTGCCACTCCAGGTGCGATCCGTTTCATTGGTGTTATGGTGCTCGCACGTTCAAGTCACAACATTGAGGCCTCGAGCGAGAGGTCCTTATCAGGAAGTAGGTTAACTAGCTTGGAGCCCGACGGAGTAGAGTAGGATCGTTGAATGCCACATGAAGGACACAGTGTAGGCAGATTTCATCGATACCGAATGAGGTCAAGCATAAGCTGGGTTCAAAATCACTGTAGGGAGCAGGGTCCAATGAGTCAGGCCGCGACAGGTTATTTCCATCACTGTCTCGGGCATACCTTCCACCAATGACAGCGAAGTTGGTCAGGAATATAAGTGGTCGCTGTCGCTTGGTTTATATCTGGCTCGTGATATCTCGGACGGAGAAAAGGAAGGCGTCCCATCAGCTCTCTTGAAGGTCATGTAAGCCGTAAACGTCTAGACGAGTAGTTCCTTGGTCATATTGTGTAAGTGGGCTCTGCAATGCCAAGAGGTGGAGGTGCATCTCTGATGTGGCAGGTGAAATATCATATGTAGGATTGGCCGATGGCGTTGAAGGTGACCTATAATATAACAGTATTAGCGCCGAACAGTGCCTGGAGTGACGGAGAACCAACTGGATTGGCCAGAATGGACGCGTGTCCCAGAGAGTGTTCAAAAAACGCGTCATAGAGTTGAGGAACGCCGTAGGATAAATTGGCTCTCAAAGGCCGATAATGTTCATCAATGGATATAAGTTGATATGGGTCTTCAAGGAAGGACGAAGAAAGATGGAGGAGAGATGCAGGAAGGTGATGGACATGTTCCAAAGTTGCTCTTCCGATCAAGGAAATATGACATCCTTCTCTTTAGTTTAGTGCGTGCTTGCTATATAAGAAAAGCGCTAAGACCTCTAGCTAGAGAGCTGGAGACTGCAAGTATAGAACGGCCAATGGAAATGGTTGAGCAAGACGTTAGAACGTGCGGCCGAACTCTAAGCCTGACATCTCAAGCGTAGGGGCAAACAAAGAACGTGACTAACTACGTAGTTAGCACTCTCTCAAGTTCCAAATTTTGAGCGCTAGGATAAGTGGCTGTCATTAGATACTGCTAGCTTAAATAAAATACGGGTCTTCACGTTTTGAAGACTTCCCCGGGATCTGAGTGGAACTATTAAAGCTTCATACAAAGGCCAGGCCAAAAGCAGGAGAGGTGGCAATGCTCATGTCTTGGCGCTACTAAAAATACCAGGGTTAATTTCACGTTTCACAGCGCCAAGACCACTTTAGCGCCGCGTGACACTCCGCGCAGCGGAAAAGACTTGGCACGTTACCCCCTTAATATGAAAGAAATCACACTCAGAGACATTTTCCAAGATGCGTCAGTCTTTCATACCGTATGATTTTAAAAGTGTGTTTGAAGATATCCAGTTGAAGTGTTTTATTTGCCTCCCCCTAACCGCCTAACCCCGGGTACACCGGGAAGAGGGGGCCTTGGCATTGCTCTAAAAGCAAATTTCAACGCCAAGAGTCTGGAAACTGGGCTGAGCAAAGCTGGGCATCTGCATCCAGAACGAAGTCAGGCAGCAGGATTGGCTGTGCCAATGTTTTGAATCTCTTTGTACATAATCCCGCTCATATGGCGTTTCGCCAAGTGACTGGTTTCATAAATCTGATGGGTTCTATTGAATGGTCTCCCTTTTGTCTTAGGGGATAATACACTCATATTCTCCTCCTGGCCTCAATGCTCTCGACTCCTTTTCTTTATCTGCCAGTCCCATGCATTTCCTCCGATGTCTCCGATGTCGGTCGCCCCTGTCGCGTCAAATGAGGCCTATGACCCTTTCTAGGTGGTTGTTGACCACCGTGTTGGCCTGCCTTCTCGTACAAAATGCCGTCGCAATTGAGGTTAACCCCGAGGATGAAAGTAGGTTCATTTCACACACTAGCTAATCACTCCAAGTGACTTACATGTACCTTTCCCGGTAGCCTCCGTCAAAGATGCCGCCAAAACCGTCGCCACCACCATGATGAAGTTCTACGATGAGCGCGACTCGAGAGATATTCCGGGTAAAATGGACGGTACCTGGTGGGAGGGCGGTTCAATGTTTATGACCCTCATCCAGTACTGGTATTTAACAGGCGACAGCCAGTTCAACGCCGCCATTCAGGAAGGCATGTACTGGCAAAAGGGCGAAAACGACTTCTTCCCAAGCAACTACTCTCAATACCTCGGTAACGACGATCAAGTGTTCTGGGGATTAGCAGCGATAACAGCCGGAGAGCTGAACTTCCCTGAAAAAGACGGCGAAGCCTCGTGGGTTTCCTTGGCCGAGGGTGTCTTCAATGGACAGGTTCCACGCTGGGATATGAACACTTGCGGTGGAGGTCTGCGATGGCAGATTTGGCCTTACCAGAATGGATATGGGTTGAAAAATGCCATCTCCAACGGTGGCTTGTTCCAGCTGTCAGCGCGCCTGGCACTATACACCAGGAATGCAACCTATGCCGAGTGGGCCGAGAAAATTTGGGATTGGAGTCACTCTACGCCGCTGTTGAGGAAAAATTGGGTTATCGCCGATACCACTTCTGTTGCTGCCAATTGTAAGGATCACGGTGATCATCAATGGACTTACAACTACGCTACGTATATCGCCGGTGCGGGTTATATGTATAACTACGTATGTCTACCTCCTGTCCAAGTTGACTAACCGGGAATATCGAAGTTAACTGATCTTATAGACCAACGGCACCGAAAGCAAATGGCTCGAAGGCATCTCAGGACTGATCGGCGCATCCGAGCAGTTTTTCCCTGAATCTGGCGGGAAGCAAATTATATCCGACATCACCTGCGAGCCGATTAACAAGTGCGATCGCAATCAGAAAACCTTCAAGGCATACTTTACGTCATGGCTCGGATTCATGTCGCTGATTGTACCGTCCAATGTCACTGCGGACATTATGGGGAGATTTAAGACCTCCGCTGTCGCCGCCGGTCAACAATGCTCCGGAGGAAACGATGGGACGGATTGTGGAATTCGCTGGACGAAGAAGACGGAATGGGATGGGAGTGCAGGCTTGGAGCAACAGATGTCCGTTCTGGGTGTTCTCAATGCTATCATGGTCCCGTTCAACGGTCAGGGCCCGTACAATGCCGACAATGGTGGAAAGTCCCGAAGTGACCCGCATGGGGGCACCAATACAGAGGATATGATGGGGCCTGAGCCTATCACTACAGGTGATAGGGTTGGCGCGGGAGTCTTGACTGCGTTCTTTGTTATACTCTGGGTTGGGTCTATATATTTCATGCTTCGAGGCCAGTAGATTCACTCGAATGGGGAGGCCTATAAATACATGTACATTTGGAATTTTGATACCTTGGGAAATAGAGAATTTTTTATGATGTTTTTTGATACTAACTACCTGTTCACAATTAATATTCAGCTAAATAGCATTACATATAGGAGACAGCATTATCTAAAGCCGTGTCTCCAACTTTGAGCGTCGAAGAGACCTTTATACAATCTCCCTAGGATCTTTGGAGACTAGTAGGCCAGAAGCCCGTGCTTCACAAGCGTGTTGGGGCAAAGCCCGGAGAAGTATCATGCAATGATCAACCGTATAACAAGAGGGAGATCTATCTGACAGGGAGAGAGATCCTGGACAAACAGGAGAACAAATATGCCTTGGGCAGCCACACCTCCAACATCATGTCGTGGTAAAGGTTTTCCCCTGTCCTTGTTTTCTTTTGTTTGTCACTTCAGGTCTCCTCATCCTCTGTGGTTTCAACGGCTTTATTATCATCCAGCTGGGCTGCCTCTCTAGCCTCCACAAGCTTAGCGACATGATCCTTGGCACGCTGAAGACGTTTTTTCGCTGCATTAGTGGAGATGCCATAGTGTTGGCCAACAGCAGGAAAGTCGATCTAGGATACGATACTCATATTAGCACCGAGAAGTAACCGATGAGAGAAGGCTCACCTTAATTCCTGTCACCTCAATACAGGTAAGTACGAATTCGAGCCTCTCTTTCAGCAAGTCACGGCTAGTTCCCGAAGTAGGCTTAGCAATAGCTTTCTTGGTAGCCTTAGCCTTGGTGGGTTCGTTGGAAGCCATGGTGAAGATGGATAATTTGTTGCTGTGATGAGTTTGATGTGAATAGAAAGTGGGCAATACTTTCTCAGATTCAGGAACTCGAGGAAAGGAAAAGAGGAAATGAGTACGGAGGTTAAGAATCAAATTTATATCCTGATAATAGCAAACAACTTTGGCATACCTTCTTCCTGTTGGTACATATTGTGTGAGATACCTCAGCTCAAGTTACAGCACGGAGATAAGAGGAAAATAAGAGCTTGGTGATTCAAATGACTGAAACTCGTACCTCGGACAGGTGTATAACAAGTATTTGAACAAACCAATGTTCACGGTGTTTCAATCACTTAAAAATAAGAGGCATAATCCCATTCTGTCAGATGATGATCTTTCCTTGTTCCGGACTAGATAGTCCAAACCCTAATTGCCGCCATGTCTTTGCTTTCAAACGCCGACCCGACCTACGCTTGGACAGTAAAGAGAATTGCAGGACTCTTCGGAAAGTTCGCCCCAAAATGGACAATCTAGCGAAGCTAGTTCAACTCTCAAGACCCATCTAAAGACCGCTAATAGGCAGAGGCAAGACCCGTGGGGATATGCGGAGAAATCTAAGAAGCATCTTAATGAGGGAACAGACCATTGGAATTGGATCCTTATAGGTATTTACTATTTCGTTAATCCAGTACCTCTATCCTTCCGCCATTCCCAATCCCACCATGTCTCGCTATCTTTCATTCTTCATCTCCCTAGCAGCTGCCACGAACCTCTATGCCACCCTCTATGCCACCCACTATGACGGCAACATCTACACACTCTCTCTTGATAGCGGAAACTCACTTTCGATTGCTTCGTCTGTGAAAACATGCGGTGATGCCCCTAGTTGGCTTACGTTTGATTCGTCAACGCGCACACTCTATTGCTCCGATCACGCAGGCAATGCAACTGTGAATGGCTCGTTGAGCTCCTACTCTGTGAATCAGCATGGCAGACTGACGGAGCTCGCGAAGACCGTAGACGTGGGCTCTGCTGTTCACAGTACTATGTATGGCGGTAAACACGGGTACGAAACGTATTTGGCTGTTGCACATTAGTGAGTGAAATCTATTCCCCCGTATATAAACGGACTAACATTCACCAGCGGGGGCTCCGCCCTTTCGACCTTTGCCCTGCCCCTTAGGTCCGATAAGGGGCCTTTACAGGTCTTCCGCTACAAACTGTCCCAGCCAGGTATCAAACCTCAGCAGGATGCACCGCACCCGCACCAGGTGATCCTTGATCCAACCGGTTCTTTCATCCTTGTTCCGGATTTGGGCGCCGATCAGGTTCGCGTGTACGCTATTAATCAGAACTCGGGTCGCCTAAATGAATGCCCTAGTCTCAATTACACCGCTGGTAGTGGACCGCGCCACGGGCTGTTTTGGAAACCCAATCGCTCGGACTCAGCACAAGCTCCAGTGACTATGCTGTACACCGTCAGTGAATTAGGTGGTCACTTCAATGCGTTCGTTGTCTCCTACTTACGCTCCGGTTGTCTCGCGTTCCAAGAAACTCAATCCTTTGTGCCATACCAAGGTGGACAGTTACCGGCCGGGGCTGTGCCGGCGGAGCTTCGTATGGCTGGGAATTCTCTTTACGTTTCGAATCGCTTTGATCAAGGATTCCCTCCAAATGATTCCATGTCGACCCTGGTTCGTTCCTCCAATGGCACGGTGACTTTCAGCCAAAGCAGCTCTTCATATGGCACCATTCCCCGCACTTTTGTCGTCAATAAGAAGGGTACTCTGGTGGCTATTGGGAACCAGGCTTCATCTAACGTAGCCATCGTGGCAAGGAATCCACAGAGTGGAGAGCTCGGCAAACTAGTCGCCAATTTGCAGGTTGGACCGCCCGGTCAGGCTAGTAATTCGTCGACGGGTTTGAGCAGCATCATCTGGGAAGAGTGAACTCTTCAACTCAAATCTTCGAGGAATCATCAACATTATTAAGGTAACTGTCAAGGTTGTCTACCCCGGGAAAGGATGGGATCTGTCTAGTCTTGGAAGAATGATTGTATATATAGAGTAACATATGATGTAGAATGCGCACAACATCACAGTCCTATATGGTTTACCAAGAGTCAATTGAGCCGATCTCTCCTTAGAGTTGTCTGGTCGCTATATCTAAAACTGTTTCCGATGACCGCACACATTACTCCATCCAATCTACAAGGAAATTTGTTCATCGCGGAGGCAAACTTTTGATTTTGATTGGACACGGTACGAAGCTCTTCCCAACATCGATCCTGGAAATGATTGAGATTGACCAATGTAACTATAGGACCGATCGGCCTTTTCGGTGAATTCGTGCTGTAAGGCACTTGCTACTCGCTTATGCGGAGTTTGTTAACACTCCTTTTGTTCTCTATATTCCTTCTTGTGAAAGCTCTGTTGGCTCCCCATGTCAATGTACAATTTCGTTACTACCTAGGCAGGTAAGTTACGAATGTCGAGCTAGCCATAGCCAGCCCCAGAAGCAGTCATTTTCGACGTCAATTTCATAGGTCCCCACATTCCATGTGTAAAGTATCAACTCGCTCACACTTGATTATAGAACGTAAGACGTGGTAGCCATTAGTCAAGTAGACAGAGTATAAAACAGACATCAACGTATTACCCTCATTCCCTTAAAGTCGGACAAATGCTGTAGAGTGGAGTACGAATTAGCACTGTGTCCGAAACCATGTATATACCGCAAGAGAGAAAGAGGGGAAGAAGAGACACTTACTAGCATCGATCTGCTGGATATTCGGCAAGGCCAAGCGCACCTTATTCCGATAAACAGCTGGTCCATTCAACTGTAACGGGTTACCCTCGAAGTAAACAGTCTGCAGCTTCTCCTTATCCTTGAGCTCGCGCTCAACTTCCTCGAAGCTAGCAAGCTGGTTATTTGAGCCCCAGAGCTCCTCGAGGTTCTTTAGTGAAGAAAGATGTTCAAGATGGGAGACCTGGTTGTTGGAAAAGTCGAGCACGCGCAGGGTCTCGTTGGATTCCAGCCCTGAAAGGTCTGTTACTGCATTGTGAGAGAGGTAGAGCTCTTCAAGCTTGGGGAGAGCGGAGAGACCCGTGATTTTGGTGAGGCGGTTAGATTGGATGGAGATGATGCGAAGGTTTGAGAGGCTGTCCAAGTTCTGAGAGGATGTCAGCTTCTTCACTTGTTATGGTATGTCGGGTGACAATTGCGCACCTTCATTTCAGTGATCTTGTTTTTCCCAAGCCAGAGTTCTTCCAGCGCCGTCAGTGTTTCCAAGTTTTCGATTTCCTGAACAGACCCCGTGTCAGTCTTTCCATTGTTCACCTCGTACGCATGTATCATTAAGTACGAACCCGAATTTTATTCGCGCCCAACTCCAAGTTCTTGATTCCTGTCAATTCTTCCAAGCCCTCGATACGGGAGATTTTGTTCTGCACGAAGAAAAGCTCGGTCAACTTCTTCAGATGCGAGATATTCTTGATATGCTTGATCTTGTTGAAGCTCAGATCCAAGCTCGTCAAGTTGTGGAACTCTTCCAGGCCCTTGATATGGGAAATGAGGTTATCGTAGAGGTCGAGTTCGGTGAGACTGGCGGCGACATTTGGAGGGAAGTTGATGCGTGATATTTGATTCTGGCGCATGCATAGTCTCTGTATATCCCAGCGCGTTAGCTAGCTGGGCGAAACAAAGGAATGCTGTGCCGTCGCGCTTTTGAGCTTCGAGGAAAAAGTGGTAATGCCCCTCTCCGCTACTAGGCACAAGCGGATTCCACGGTCGCTGGGGGTATGTACCTGAAGTTTAGGGAAGCGTTCCAATTTAAGAGCAGAAATCGACGATATCCGGCAATGCACGAGGTCAATATCCTACAGCAGAACAACGATTAGCAATCACGTCGCGCGCGCGTGTCGATCAGCAGAAAGTCCAGGGCTATCTGCCTACCTCTGCATTAACATCTTCATCTGCCAATAGATCTAAACAGTCGTTAGCCCATAGCTCACCAATGACCGCTCAGCGCTGAGCAAGCAACCTAGCGACCGTACCTTCATCAGCCTCAATCTCTTCGACCGGGGGTGCATCCGGATCCGAGTAATCTGAATCTTCCAGCGCCTCCGAGTTTGTAATAACGGCCTTTGGCTCCATCCTCATTTTTCCGTCCCAGCCCTCCTTGTTCTTCATGATTTCAGCCAGCGTGAGAGATGTGGGATGTTTGGAGGTGGGCGGTGGGAATTGCGATTGCGGGGAGCTTTCGGTTTTATCGGGAGGTGATCGCCAATAGGTTTAAAAGAAAAAGAAATCCAAGATGAGCTCGAAAGAACAAAGAGACAACAAAGAAGTTGCACTTAGTGGTAAAGAACTAAAAACTTGGTTTCGGGAAAGTTGAGGTGACTACATCATAGTTTTAATGCGGTCTCGATGCGGGATAGCCCCGAGGCACTTCAACTTATTAACATATTAACTTATACATAGTTACATAGTAGATAGATAATAATTAATGTTGAATTCATTTTTACTCTAATACAACTTGCTCCATTTTGTTTTCTGGATACGTCTTCTCGGGGGCTATGTACAGCATCGAGAGCCGTCATGTACATTGCATGAAAGAATCACTCCAACTTTGGCAGCATAAAGGGGATTATTAGACACTGCTCACTATGAAGGAGATGTATACCGCTGCCAGGTAGAAGCCCCAGCAAAAGAGGACACAATGAAATGTATGCCCATGTATTGGTGAGCTGAGATCGAGGCAGTAAGGCCATGTAGCAAGGCAGAAATGGGAAAAGAGAAACATAAGGGGGATACAGCGGGGATATGATAACCAGGCGACGCCTGCAGAATGCATAAAAAGTGAACTTGTTGGGTGTTGGGAAGGGAAGGGGAGAGAATACACACAAAAATGGAAGGTCAGGACATGAGGGGGTGTTGATAAAGCACAGGGGATGAAGATAAAAAAAAAGGAAAAGGGGAATTGGGCTCGCTCGGAGCGTGGTGAGATACAAATTCAAAATTGCAATGCAAAAGGTCGAAGATGGTCAGAGTAATGTGCTATCCAAGAACGACAACAAATGCAAGAGACGGGGGGCCTTGGCCCAGTAGGATACCAGTTCCATATGGGTCCATGTTCTGTCGTCGAGAAGGGGAATCGGATTGGTAGTAGGAAATAGGGCGACTACCATCAATGGCAGCAATGCTGGAGAAACGCAAAAGGAAAGGGCTTTTCTCGCGTAGAAAAGAAAACAATTCGCTCAAAATGGATATCTCAGGCGTAAGAAGGATCCCGTCGAGGCATCTAGAGGGTACAGTCCAGGACCATGCTGACATCTTGGACCTGGGCCCCTGCAAGATCCTCGAGAACAGGGATGAGATCGAGCAACTCATTGTCGTGAGCGTCAGAGAACCAGCTACTGATGGGAATCGCGTGCTCAGGGTGGAAAATGTATGATGTGGGGGAATTATCAATGATAATTGTTTCCTTCAGGTCTCGACCGACTTGTGAAAGATCCTGGACAATGGTTAGGTTATTCTCAATCACTAAAGAGGACAAAGAAGCTCACCTTGACGTAGTTCCCCTGGTGGTTATAACAACTCTCTCGGAACAAGCGGTGATGAATCACATTGTGGATATCCAGTTGATCAAGCAAAGGGTCGCCATACTATAACTCGAGTCAGTGTTGTCACTCGCCAAAACCATTAACTATCAACTGACCTTTGAAACCGAGGCAGTGAACACCACCACTTCGTAAAGCTCACCAACACGCTTCATGAAGGCATCCACGCCAGGACGTTTGATCACATAGATGTTGTGGTATTGACCTTCAATCTCAACTGGAATGGTGAAGTCGGCACGCTCCAAAACCTATGAAATCAATAATGAGTAAGTTGATACGATGATACGATGATACGCCTTGGGCGCATAGTGAAAATGACGGGGACTCACCTTGAAGCTGCTGTGGACCAGCGTCTCATCCAGGTCAAGAACCAAGCACTTTCGGTCGCTTAAGTGAGGCAAGGGTGCAGGGAGCAAAGGATGTCCTGTGTCCTCATAGTGGCCTCGAGCAGGAGCAGGGGGTGCAGGTGGCAGCGGTGGTGGCGGCGGAGGGATCACCACGGGGAGTTTTGTTTCTTGAGAGGTTACTTCTTCTTGGCCGTCGGTGCCAAAATTTTTAGGCATGGCTGAGGTTGATGCAGAAGTGAGGTCCTCGGTGGTTGAGGTTGATTGACCTTCCCAATCCTGAGTGCTTACATCTGCTTTCGCTGCGTCTGCCTCCACTTCAGGTACTGATCCCACCACAATTCCCGTTTGGGCAGGCGGGGTAACATCGTTGGTTTGATCTTTCTGAGCAGAAACTTTCGGCTGCGTGGCAACCGCCGAAGGCCCCTCGCTTTGCACACTGGCTGTGGCAGCCTGGACCGGGGCATTGCGGTCTTCTTCGCCAGGCTGATCGGCGCTGACTGTGGAGTTCGCCTTTTCGTCTAAATATGGCTCCGTTGATTCTACAGTGCTGGAATCAGCAGTAGGAGCCTCTGTCTTGTTTGGAGTAGGCAACCTGTTGGGAGCAGGTGGCCGCATGGTCGTTTTCTTTGCAGGCAACGTAGTGTCATCTGCGTCGACATCCGAAGAGGAGCAACAACCCAAGAAAGCCAGGAGCTTAGATGGACCCTTCTTCTGCTGAGGCTTTGAGGGGCTGTCATCAGGCATAGTCGACGCCTCTTTACTCTCCTCCGCATTCACACCGTCCTGAGTCTGGCGCGAGCGTCGGCTACTTGCCCGACTGTGATCCCGTTTCGACCGCAAGATGCTCACTTTGGAACTCCGTCGCGAAGGCTCATCCTGTGCTGCTTCATCGGACTTTTCCGACCCCTGTTTTTTGCTGGCTCTCGAGGATCGTCGCGATGGGATCGGAATCAACAAATGGCGTTTCTTCGGTGTGTCGATGCTTTCAGCAGCAGCTGGTGTGGAACCCGCTGGTACAGTGGAAGACAAAGCCGGGTCGGAAGGTGCGACAGAGGTTGCGTCCTGGATTTCGGTCGCATCGGTACCTCTGCCCTGTTCGGACTCAGCAACTACGGAAGAAACGACGTCAGCAATCATATATACTTGGAGTACAAGCCAACAGGAAGCGCATTTCACTTACTGGCTGAGCCCGGAAGACCGGAGGTATTCATAGGGGCTTTGTTTGTGGATTCCGGAGGTGAATCTTGGGCTTTCTCTCCACTCATCTCGGATGACTGCGGTGTCAGGTGCCCCAACACAGATAAATATAGGAAAAAGGAAGCGAAGCGAAACAGTTCCCAGGTTTGAAAGGCCGAGTCAATGCCAGAACTCTCTCAGGTCGAGAGCGCGGCTAATAGGGACGTTAACACACCTCCTGGATAAGCACTGGAAGATGTTTCGCACGTACCGCCTTTGGCCCCGGGAGTGATCCAACACCCACTGATTGCAGTTTCGAAATCGACAAACTAAACGAACAGGAAATGGATGTGATATCTCTACCGTGAGGATTTTCGGGGGCTGAGAGGAGTCGAGAGAAGTCGGGGGGATGTCACGTGAACATACGGTGTAAGGAAACGGGGGGAAATGGGATTTATTTCCTTTTTTTCCATTTTCTGACGCTAAACAGGGCTAGCAAGGCTAGCAAGGCACAGGGGCCCTTTTTCACACGCTACTTCAAGCCATCAGCGGCTACGGTAAATACTTGTCATCACGCTGTGCAGAGTCGTACTTACTCGGCCGATGTTACTTTTACGTTTTAACATGGGATTCTTGCTCCTTTACTCTATAACATCATACCTCCCAACATAGGGAGTCAAAACAAACAGAATCCTTTTGAGATGATCCCGATCAGGGCCTGTGGAGTCATCTCATTGTGGATATTAACTGTGATTGTTATGTACGGCCCCTTTTTTATGGCCACTTCTATGCTTTTAAGGACCACTCATATGGCAGTAACTGGAGCTATGGCCTTCAAAACGTGATTGATTTCATTTAATGTAACCCCAAATTAGATCCAGTCCAAACGCCAACCTGCAAATTGCGAACTGCAAACTGGGTTATACCTGTTGGTGTAGGTTCGAGCTCTCGAGGTCTAGTTGGGTTAGAATATTTCACAGGGAAGTTGAACATAATGAAGCCAATAACAAAGGGTATCAAGAATACTACCCTGTAGAGACTAGTAGATATGTAATCCATGGGAAACTCTCCAGAGTTAAGGACAGTGTTCCCCATTTCTATTATTATCAGCCATTTTCCAAAAGATCAAGGTGCAGTTCAAGGCAGGGCAGAAGTACAGTCAGCTTCTAAGGTTCCCCACGTGAGGCTTCTCCACATATCCGAGGTTCACATGCAATTGCACCCATATCGTCAACCGTCAACTTCAACTTTCTCACCTTGAGATGCATTTCGTATGGTTCGAAACACATTCAAAACTAAGGCCTTCGGAGTCTAGGGACTTCTCAGTTACCTCGTGAGTCGGAGGTCTCAGGCCATTTGAAGATGGCTGTCCAGTCAACCCTTCGGCGTCCGGAGGATCCCCTCCTGGCACTATATCGCCACTACTCCGATCTCGTACGCTCCAAGTTCCGCCGCACATCCAAAACAACCCGCTTGGTTGCAACGATAGTCCTTCTTTTCTCCATCATCAGCTCGAGTTATGGAGGCTATAAATGGTTCCGAGGGAGAGCCAAGGAGCGGGCTCGGGGTCGCCGTCTATTACGCCGGAACTCTGGTATCCGGGGTAAAGATGGATCTCGTACTATCTACGTGCCATACAAGGACTCCTTAACCTCCAAGGTCTTGATCCATCCCACTAAGCCGACTACCTTTGACGCTCATCGACGACTGTTCCTCAACCCCCCGGCATCGGCTCGCAGTAAAGATGATGGCTCAGCAAGCCAGATTCCTCCCCCTACAACCAAACCAGGTCTGAATTTGGCATTCCTGCATCAGTTCCTAAGCTTGGGTAGTATCATGGTCCCGAGATGGGGGAGCAAAGAGACTGGATTGTTGATGAGCCACGGCCTTTTTCTCTTGCTGAGAACATATCTTTCACTATTGATTGCACGGCTTGATGGTGAGATTGTGAGGGATCTAGTCGCTGGAAAAGGAAAGGCTTTCCTTTGGGGTATCCTCAAGTGGTGTGGAATTGGAACCCTTGCTTCATATACCAATGCGATGATCAAATTCCTCCAATCAAAGGTGTCCATCGCCTTCCGCACTCGGTTGACCCGGTATATCCACGACTTATACTTAACTGACAATAACAATTACTATAAGTTGATGAATTTGGACGGTGGCATTGGTCAAAGCCCCGATCAATTCATCACGCAGGATCTTACCCTGTTCTGCACGGCCGCCGCATCACTATACTCCTCAATGGGAAAGCCGCTGGTGGATCTTTTCGTATTCAACTATCAACTTTACCGCTCACTCGGTCCCCTGGCCCTGAGCGGCATTTTGGCTGGGTACTTCAGCACAGCCGTGGTGCTCCGCAAATTATCACCGCCATTTGGAAAGCTGAAGGCAGTAGAGGGCAAGAAGGAAGGAGATTTCCGTGGTCTGCACTCTCGACTTCTAGCCAATGCCGAAGAAATCTCATTTTACGGCGGAGCTGATACCGAGAGAGTGTTCCTGGTCAGAAGCTTCAAGGAGCTGCAGCGATGGATGGAGGGCATTTACAGTCTCAAGATCCGCTACAACATGCTCGAAGACATGATCCTGAAGTACTCTTGGTCGGCGTTTGGTTATTTGATAACTTCCCTACCCATCTTCCTTCCCGCCTGGGGTGGCTCGGGTGGTGCATTGGAGTTGGCCAATGCACCCGAGGGTACGGGTCGCGAGCGCGGCCGCATGAAGGAGTTCATCACCAACAAGCGTCTCATGCTTTCACTTGCCGATGCTGGAGGTCGCATGATGTACAGCATTAAGGACATCTCAGAACTCGCTGGCTACACCTCTCGCGTTTACAGCCTTATTGCCACCTTGCACCGTGTTCACGCCGATGCGTATTACACCCCACGAGGCTCGCATCCCGAACTATACTCTCTTGCCGATTCTCAAGGCACCACCCACAACGGTTTCGATGGAGTCCGCCTGGAGCAGGTCCCAATCGTCGCACCATCCCTCCACCCAATGGGCGGCGACGAACTCATCGAGTCGCTCTCATTCATCGTCCATTCAGGTGAACACCTCCTCATCTCGGGTCCAAATGGCGTAGGCAAGTCTGCCATCCCCCGTATTGTGGCCGGGCTCTGGCCTGTATACCGCGGCCTGGTTAGTCGCCCTCGAGGCTTCGGCCTCGACGGAATCATGTTCCTCCCCCAGCGGCCATATCTCAGCGTCGGGACGCTGCGCGACCAAGTGATCTATCCGCACACGGAGGTCGACATGCGTGAAGCCGGCGAGACGGACGCAGCTCTACAGAAGATTCTCGATGACGCCCATCTAGGCTACCTGCCACAGCGCGAAGGCGGTTGGGATGCTCGCAAGGAGTGGAAGGACGTCCTGAGCGGTGGTGAGAAGCAGCGCATGGGCATGGCGCGGCTCTTCTACCATGAGCCACGGTATGCATTTATGGACGAAGGCACTTCAGCTGTTTCCTCTGATGTTGAGGGCTTGCTATACGATAATGCCAAGGAGCGAGGTATCACTCTTATCACCATTTCGACGCGGGCGTCTTTGAAAAAGTACCATACCTATAACTTGAATCTTGGCCTGGGTGCCGAAGGCGAAGTCTGGGAGTTTGAGAGAATCGGTACTGAGAAGGAGAAGCTTGGTGTTGAGAAAGAACTTCAGGAGCTGCGGAAGCGTCTGGATAAGGTGGATGAGTGGAAGCAGCGCCGCGAGGAAATCGAGCAGGAGCTTCAGAAGGTTTGGGCTAATGGGGGTGAAGTTGCACCGCCACCTTATCAGGAAGAAGAGCACTCTGGCTCTGAGGCCATTGTTGAAGTAACTGCGAATTGAATGTACACAGTCAGCGTAGACAATCTCGAAGCTTTCCGATCTTAGAATGTTAAAATGATGTTCAACAGATCAATCTCCCCTGTGTACAGTAGGGATATTTTTCCGGTCACGTATCTCTTGAGTGGGACTTTTGATAGCCTGCTAGCCTGCTTTGATGTTTTTTTATGTCTTCTAAATATTCCTCGACTTACTCGTGTACAACCAGTTGACTCGAATTAAAGCGGCAAGATAATATCCCTCTTTGCTCACCGCCCTGTTAAAGCGGCGACATTCCTTATCGATAAGCCCACCACAACAAGAAAACTATGGGATCTCCATAGTTCATTATATCAGCAACTCTTCCTCGCTCGTACTCTTGTACAAGCCCTCCACTCACTGTTTGGAGACAGATTATTGTGCTGGAATTTTTTTCTATCTGATTTTTTTTCCAGCATTGCTTAGTCCCAACTTCCTTACAATCTATTCTGCACTCCCTGGGCTTCCCAGGTGGGGAAGACAAACATGTCTTCTAGCAGCGAGAATGAGGATCCCAATGTCAATGTTATCCCTATGGAGAACTTTCCCAGTGATGGGGACATGAGTACCTGGCCTGGGGGCAATTACAGGGAACGCTCTGACTCTCGCTGGCGGGAATTACTTGCTGAGAATTGGCTCAAAGATATGGGCACTTTTGAAGAGGGTGAGTTGACAACAGATATTTCAGCTTCACGTTCTGTGTAGCATGCTGGCCGTGTTGCACGGTGTTGTTTTACGTGCATTGATTGGGTGACTGCATCTGTCGCTTCACCCAACTATCGTTTGCTCCTTCACTTCTTTGTGCTCCACGATGGCCTACTCCCTTCTTTCTTCTCTGTTTCTTGGATTCACATGTCTGCTCTCAGACTAACAGAGCATACATAAGGTGTCGCTCATACCATTGAGAAGCTGCCTGATGGATACTGCCTATTCGAACGACCACGTGGGACCAATCCTTCAATGGTGAGCATTCCTAGTGTTCCCATCTTGATTTGCAACTAAAAATCATATGTGAAGTTTGACCCTTTTCTCTTTGGACATCCAAGCGGTCGGTATTTCCAGTCACAGGTCACTTTCTTGCCCCATTTCCTGTGTCTAGTCAAGAACGAGCTGGATAGGTGTAAATGCAAGCCATGTGTTTCGATGAAGACGAGCCAGGGGACTTCCGTGCAGGCAACTAGAAAGGCTATGCAACCAAGTGAGTAGTACTACCATCAATGTCTCTATGTTAGATTCATTATTGACATACATTGAGTCGTCAATGAGCGTCGCCCCACCGACGCAGAGGGACCAGATTACTGGAGAATCTTGGTTATGAAACTGAAAGATAAGAGGAAGCTTGATGAAAATATTGAGCAGCGATTCAATCTCGACTGGGTGTTGACTCACGAATGGCTTTCTGATTACTTCATGAAACTGGTTCTGGATCCCGCTTATGTCCCTCGTCGTGGTGAGCTTGTTCTCTGGATCTGGCAGGGTCTTGAAGACGGATGTTTATTGCTCAACCCCGAGACTGGCTTAATTGAAATATTCGGCAACGACAACAAGTGGCACGGCGTGCCCAACTGGCGTGCCGGTGTGGTGACCCAAACCCCCGAGGAAGAAGGGCATATGGTGAATATCATTGAAACTCCCGATAGTCCACGCGGACTAAGCTACTCTGGTTTCCGTGTTGAGACTCTACCAGATCCGCTGGGCAATGACAAGTCTTACTCGGTGCAATACGCCTATGTTCCGTTGCGTAACATCAAACCTTTTAACACATGGCAGGCCTACCTCAATGGGCAAAAGCGAGAAGACATGCACCCGTCCATTGAGAATGCTATGACTGTGATGTCTTCCTGGAGCATGGTCCATAAGTTTCACGTTGTTGGCGAATGGCCTGATGCCAGGATCCACTGCAAGGGAATCTTCATTGGAGCCGAACTCCTTGCCGTACACGACACCGTCCGTCTAAGGCCACATAAATTCCATCACAGCCAGCTCAGAAACGGAACAGTCGGCGAAGTGACGGAGGTGATGGTAATCGAAAAAATCCAACTCTGCCTTTCGAGGTGCACCGACGATGACCAGGAGCAGCTAGCAGACCACTACACAGCCCTAATCTCCGGTAAGATGTTCACAAAGGACCCAAGTCGCATCACCCAAGAGGGCCCATTCAAAGGTACAAACCCAGTACCATCCACCGAGGCAGCAACCGAACCTATCTCCCTCACCGCGGAAGAAGCAACCGCTACCTTCCGTCAGGTCAGCATGAACGACTATGGTCCCTGGTACCGCATGGCCAATGGCAGGACCTGTAACGTCTCTCCGCACCTAATCGTCGGTCGCTGCTACGAACCGCTCGCGGCAGAGCTCATGTTCGGCACCCACAGCTTGGGTTACGACCTCTCCGGCGTGATGGAAGGCCGTGCGTACTCCTCACAAGTCGATACCCGTATGCCCAAAAACAACACGTGGTTCTGGGGCGATTGCCGGGTAGAAACGCTCGGGCTGACAGAGATCAACGGCGTGGAATGCGGTCGTACGGCGGCGCAGCGCAAAGACCCGCGCAAGTGGCAGGCGATTATCAAAATGTCGCATGGCGAAGTCAGTCACGCTCTCCGACACCAGGCGCAAATTCCTTCTTCGGGCGGTCGGCCCTTCAAGTCTTCGTCTTCGTCTTCCGCTCCGAAAGGTACTAGCTCACGGCCGAAGACTGGTCTTGCGCAGGTTGCGCGGAACAGTAAATTAGTCAGCTCTGCTATTGGCAGTGCACCGGAGACTGAGGATGAATCCTTTGATGATGCCAATGGATTGACTGATGATCAAGTTTCTGGTGGTGTCTCCGGACTGGGGCTTCGGGGCGGTCCTTCTTCTGGGGATGATACTGCGGAGGACTATCCGTTTGCGTAGATTGATTCGATTCGGTCTGCTCGTTTGTTTTCTCTCCTTTTAGCGGCATATCCAAGATACCCATGGGCGTTACGGAGGGATGGTTCTATCCTAGTCAAATAAAATCATGCGAATACTACATATCCAGGTACTGGAGTCAGATTAATAATTCCGTGTATTCTTATTGTTCCCACAGCGATGCAAATTTGTAATGTAGAGTCGACGTCAATGTCAAGGTTTAGAAGAATAAGCGCAAAATATAACCATGTTGGTCCAACACAATGTAGTCAAAAAGAGGTAACAAATAGGTGATCTCAATTCCATATCTATGTCTAAAGAACGACATACCGTCGCCTCATACACACCTCAAACCTCCTCGCTCTGTCCAGCAGAGTTCCGTCTAGCGGACCGCTTCTTCTCAGACCAGGGGAAATGAATAACAGGAGGCAAAAAGAAGCTGTTACTGCTATCCGCAATACCAGCAAAGGCATTATACCAAGCCAAGAAAGCCCCAAGCAGAGCAAAGAGTCCACCAGCCTTGATCAATTTCTCATTTGGCACTCCTTCCACGTTGAAATAGTATCCAAGGGCGAGCAAGAGAAGAGCGAGGTCGACAAAGAAAAACAGGGAGAAGAAGGCGACGGTGGATTTGAGGGTGAGCATCGTAACCAGCGTTGTGAAGATGAACCAGCCCTAGAAGCATTCGAAGTTAGCTTTCTCTCCTTTATATCTGTCGTGGATAACATACGAAGAGATATAACGCAAATGAATTATAAAACATAGCATGAGACCCATGATCGGCCTCTTCAAGAGCCCCGATAATATCAAACCCACCGGGGATAAAAGTAATAGCCAGGGAGATCCAGAAACCACCGTACGATGAGAGCACAGTCGCACCAAAGGTATTGCCAATCGCCATTTCCCTGATCTTGTTAGCAAAAGCCACAAAACACCTACACTTCACTTCTATAACAGGGTAACATACCACATGCCAGCCAAGAGTTGCACCAACCCTCCATAAGCCAAAGCAGGCCCGACAATAATATTAGGCGCGGCGATGCCCTTGACGTTCATATTAAGACACCCCAACACGAAAGTGGTGAGTGCGAATGCACAAAGGCCCAACGGTGCTGGGTTGGCGAGCTTGCGGTCTTTGGGTACGCGGTATAGACCTGGTTGAAGGTCACCTCCGAAGGCAGGGTAGCGACTTGAGACTGTGTTGACGTGGGCTAGGGGGCCGAAATGGCCTGTTTCGTAGTCTTCGCTGTTTGGGGAAGAGTTGTTTGTGTCTTTGACACTGATTCCTTCTTCGTGGGACATTATGGGTGTTAAGATAGATGTAGATGTATAGAAGAGGGAAACGGTGATATAGTTTGAGAAGGGATGAAGATGGCCAGGACGGTAGTGCAATAGTTATGGACAATTCTAACAAGGAAATGAATTGAATTGCGAGTTCATTCTACTTTATCTGCGCAGAGAATCGTGGACACCTAGCATCATGGCCAAGGACCAGAATTCTGGGGAAGATCGGCGATAGTGCGGGGGAGAAGCCCAAAAAACGAGTCTCATAAAAGGGATAATGACGATGGCATTGCTGGCATTACTGGCATTCCTGGCATTCCTCGCAGCTGAACCCCAAAAAAAAAGAGCACTCAATAACTGTATCCCGTAATGGGGACGAGGTACAGTTCCGTACGTCCGTAGACGATCACATTGGAAGTGATACATCGAGTGAAGATCAACACGCAGATCTTATTTTAGACTTCAAAACTATGGGGAAATGAGATATCCGGCGTGGCAGATCTTGGATCTGCTTATAACAGTGGAGGGAGTATGTGGGACTTCCCCGTTGGGTACCCCAATGATGTTCATTGGATCATATTGTAGTTGGCTGCAGGACTTGGAAGATCTATCAATGCCGATATTCATTGCCGAAAGCATTGGGGTTTGGAGCGCGTCACTTGCCTCTGAATTCGCCCCTCGGCGATTCTCCGTTTTGGTTGGCCCATCATGTTCTCCCACATACGAAAGACCAAAAAAACCCAATGGATGCTTTGAATTAACTCAATTCCAATCAAAGTACATAGAAACTAAACTCAATAATTCTTCTGCACAACACCCCTTGCAAACTCTGCAAAGCTCAACCCAGGCTGGACCTCCTCCTCAAGATTCGGCTGTGTAAACACTGCAAGAGTATTCCTCGCAATCTTCTGTCCAGGACCAGCCTTAGCCCCCTTGACAAAATGCGGCACGGCCATAAACTTGCCGCGCGTGATCAACTGCAAAGCCTCACCGGTCTGGAAAGCCAGACAATCCTTGGGGATGTTGACTTTAACGATTGCATCGGTGCGCGAGCGGATGTACAGACCGGCCGAAGGATCGGGGGAACGGGAAAGTTCAGGGAGAGGGGCAGAGGCAGATCCCGAAGACGGATCGATAGTTGGAGGGGAAGCCGCTTCATCGAGGAACATGGCCGACGTCAAACCGGTCAGACATCCATGGTCGAGGTGCGTGGCGCACCAGTCGTCGTCGCTACCTTCGGCCTCTTCTTCCTGGTTGCCTGGGAAATAATGCAACAGTCGTGCTTTGGTTGTCAGACTGGTTGTCACGACATGATGTAGATATCCAGGCTTGTAGTCTTCGATGTTGGCTTCTGCATATCGATCACATGCCTTGGCGACGAGAGCCGCGGTATCGATGATCAACCTGCATAGTGACTCCACGCTACCCCTGAAGTCGGGTAATTTGGTTGGCGAAGGCCAGATGTTTGGCGCGGTATACTGGGGTAGGTCTGGGAATCCATCTGCCGGGGCGCTGTCTAGAGATGCATCTTGGTAGAAAGCGCAGTTCACGTAGTACGATCCCTTGAGGGTGTCAAAGTGGCCTGATTTCAGGGTTTCTTTGCCGCAGGACCAACCGACCAAATATTTGGATTCTGGGCTGGTGAGGGATTCTACATGGAGGTTAGTTTTTTTTTTTTTTGCGGTTGGAGTCGGGAAAGTGTGGGAACGTCTCTGATATGGAGACTTACCCAATTCGGGGTCAGGAAGAGCCGCCAGATACGAGGCATTGGATAGAACCTTTGCCCGCAGGTCGCTGAAGGTCGAGGGGAGGTCTCTGACGACGATGATTCCCAGAGAGGACGGTCCAAAGGCTTTAGTTAGAGTGTCGAAGGATACGCTTCCTGCATGACTTAGTATCTACTCTTTTCTGTTTCTAAACACACAACTTACCATCTACAAGTTCCTGCAGACTGACAGTAACGGCATCAGCCACCTGAATGTTGGTCTCCATGATGTGTGTAGAAATCAAACCTTCCCCGCTTCGAAGGGTTTTATCTTAGCGCTATCTTTTCAACGTGAAGGGCCATTCGCCTATTTGCACTAAAGTTAACACGATGTTACTCGTTGCAGGGATGTAAAGAACATATCCAATAGGAGTCGAGAATTCTATATCCTCATTCTTAGTATATCGTACATCTAATATTACATCCTCACTCGTTATTCGACTGTCCATGTCGTCTAGTCACAGCCCTCAGATTGCCAAATGGCAATACATCGCCAATTCGCTTGGCCCCAGTGAACAGCATACAGAGACGGTCCACACCGCAACCCCATCCACCGGTAGAGGGCAAGCCCCACTCCAGGGCTTCGAGGTAACTCTCGTCTACCTCGCCGGGTTCACCCGCAGCCTTGTTGAACCGCAGCTGGTCCTCGAATTTGCGGCGCTGCTCGAAGGGCGAGTTCTCCTCCTCGTATGTATTCACCACTTCCTTGGTTTCGATGAAGAGTTCACCGCGCGCGGCGACGCGCTGCTTGGTCGTGGGGTGGATGAAGGATTTAGAGAGTGGGGAGAGGCATTCGGGTGGGTTGATGATAAAGGTTGGGTCAATGCATTGTGATTCGACGTAGATACTGCATAACTCGTCGAGGAGACGGGGGAGGGTTGGGTTCGATGGGAGTGGGAGAGAGAGTTGGGTGAAGATGGCATGGACTTTATCTAGGGCGTCGGGGGATTCGAGGTCAGGCAGTTTGTGGCCGGTAGCCTCTTCGATGCCCATGAGGAAGTCGATGCGGCGGAATGGTGCCGTGAAGTTGGCTGTGGTGGGGTTAAGAGTGCCTGTTGTGTTGAAGGCGCGAATGTGGGCTGCCATGCCGGAGAGGAGGTCTTCGGTCATGGTCATTAAGTTCTCAAGGTTGGCGTAGGCCTGGTAGAATTCACAGGTGGTGAATTCTGCGTTGTGAGTTTTGTCCAGTCCTATATCTCATCAGCTTTGCTAGACATAGGTCTTATATGTTTCAGCATACCCTCATTGCGGAACGAAGGTCCAATTTCGAAGACTTTGTCGAATCCACCAACCACCAACCGCTTGAGCCAAAGCTCTGGTGCGATTCTCAGCGACAGCTGGCGATCTGGGAACTCAGTGGCGGATGTATTAAATGGACGAGCAATTGCGCCGCCTGCCACAGACCCAACGATCGGGGTGCTAACCTCCATAAAGGATCGGTCGATAAAGAACTGGCGCAGATATTGTACAAGAGCCGCGCGGGCTCGAATGATATCGGCCGTCGCGGGATCGGCCAGGAATTGGACATGGCGAGGGTAGGGAGAGGTCTCGTGCTCGATATCGTGAACGGGGATATCATGCAGACACGGCGAAAGCAGCTGGGGCAACTCGCTCACGTCAATAGTGAGCTCGCCTCGTCCAGTGCGGTGCGGTCTACCGGTTACAGCTAGAACAGCATTTAGCGGCGACACTCGAGTCAAGCCGGGCAGAGACAAGACATACAGAAAGCGTCACCGCGACGCAGAAGACGATAGAACTTCTTGAAGTCCTCCGGAGAGACACTGTCCAGACGACGCTTGTTGCACATCACCTGGACTTTATAGCCATCTTGCACGATATCGAAGAAGATCAATTTGCTTCCTGCGAGTCTATAGGTACGGATTCTTCCTACTATTCTAAGTACATGGGCATTGCAAAGGCCAGAGAGCAGAACCTACCAGATACGACGACTGTGTCTTCTACTGAATCATTGTCGGCGAGCTCGGCATAGCGAGTGCGAAACTCGGCGCAGCTCACTGTGCGTGTATCCACCGCCAGGCGAGGGTATGGGTCTGCGCAGGCATCATTGATCTGCTGTACGCGCTCCTGTAGGGCCTTTCCTGGCGATGCTGCAGAGCTACTCTTCCGAACTGGCTGTATGGTTAGTCGGGATGTCAAAGGAGTTTGAATGCGAGATTGTCTAGCGAGTCGCAGTCCTGCACTGAAGATTTTGGGTTAGCAATGGTCGAGAAAATAGACACAATTGATCCAAAATTAAGCATTAAGTTTTGTCAGATAAAATCCAGTACGTTCAGTGCCCAAAAGGACATCACTGTAGCGGTTCTAATGCGGGGATAAATCATCATTTAAGGGGGGACGGGGATGGGAGATGGCGAGGAGAAACTGAATAAAACAGTAAACAGTAAATGCAAATCTTACCTGTTGTGCAGGCCAAAGCCATATAAAGCCCATCTAGGGCGGATTGAAAGCATAGCAAATTGGCTTTGCTTTCACATCGTTGAGAGAAGAGAAGAAGAAGGAAAAAAAAAAGAAACGGAAGAACCGAGTTTTTCCACGCGGGTGGCCCAAGCTTCTCCGACCTCCCGTGCTCCGAATACGTTGGACACTCTGGTGCTCTACTCCACATATCTACTCATCATCCATCTACATTTCAAGTCTATTCATTATACATCATGTCTTTCCTCTTCGGCGGTGCCCCCAAGATGTCCTCGGCAGAGAAGATCGCTGCCGCCGAGACAGAAGTTGAGATGATCTCGGACATGTTCAACCGGTAAGTTGAAGCTCTTCAGAACACCCAAGCGCTCTATCTCGATTCCCAAACCAGAAGACTGCAGAAACTCCCATTCCAAAGCCATCTTCGAACTATGTATATCCCGAACCCCATTCTAACTTGTTCCCGTCGCGGTAGCTTGACCGAGTCTTGCACCAAGAAGTGTGTCCCCGCCGATTACCGCGAAGGCGACCTCAACAAGGGCGAGTCCGTCTGCCTCGACCGCTGCGTGTCCAAGTTCTTCGATGTCAACATCAAAGTCAGCGAGAAGATGCAGGGCGAGGCCAACGCCAACAAGCAGGGTGGCATGGGCTTCTAAACGTGTTGACAACGAAATTTATTGGGAAGGAGCTCTGGTAGCCTTGAAGCTAGAGAGTTCGGTGGTCTTTGTTTCTATGTAAGGCTATTTGACTGGTTCGGCCTACTGAATTTGGGCCTGTTTTGAATGATGGTTCACGTTTATACCATCCCGGCTTGGGAGGCACGATCGCCGGTCTATCTCTGACTATGTACAATATGGTGGATAAAGGAAAAACAGAGAATGAAAAAAAGAAAATATCATACAAATGTCGTCGTTAGGTCGAGAAGCCCATAGATCGCGCGATCCATACGGTCCAGGAAGTATCGTGCCGTTCTTCGCCTTTGATCAGGGCTTTGATTCTCGTCTCGACATTCACAATGTGACGATCAAAGTCGCCCAGGCCAGCTTCCATGTCATCGATTTTGGACTCGAGGACGTGTAATTCGTAGTCCAGTTTGGCGCCCAGCAGCTCAACGCGTTTCACGCCATCGGCGAGGTGGTGGCTTTCATCTATGAGGATGTCACTGGATCTTTCGCGCAGTCTCTGGTAGTCGGCGAAGCGTTCCAGGTAGACTGAGGTGAGCTCATCGTGTCGGTCATATAGAAGTTGGTTGAGACCTTCCACGGAATCCACTTGTCGCTCAACCCAAGGCACAGTATACTGGCTCAACTCTTGAATCCGCGAGCTGAAGATGCGTCCCTCCGAGGCAAGCATGTCTTCTTGAACGATGGCCTCCTCGAGGTTATCGGTTTCTGTGAATGTTGGTTTCCCGCCCAGTGGCTCCCAATTGAAAATTACTTCTTCAACAGTGCTGAACGAGAGATGCCGTGCGCAAAAGTTGTCTCGCCGTTCAATCTCGCTCTCAGGGCTTCGGAATTCTTCGAAACTTTGCGGCCGCCGCAGGGCCATGACAGCCGTCCCGCTGATCGAACCTTCACGGTCACGTTCGCGATCCGTTGATGCTGCCGTCGACCGAGACAATATGCGTTCCATATCTGAATCTTCCTCGATGATTGGAGGCTGCTGTGTAATGGGCCAGTCTTGAGCTTGTGTTTCTGGCTCATCTTCTGGTACAGGTTCGATATGGATTTCTGGAGCTTTCATTGGGGGCTCGGGAGTTGGCGACACTTGAGGTTTCTTTTCCTCTTCAATGAGCTTTTCGATATCGTTTGATATCTTTCTTTCTGACCGGAGCCCAGAGTCAGTCCGCGTTTTTGCCGATGGTGCCTCATTGTCACTGTCAATGGACGGACGGTATGCAAGATCGTGTGTCAACTCGGTGCTGTCTCGTGAAGGATGATGGTGATGGCGAAGGCCTTGCAGTCCAACCGCATCTTTGAATCGCCCTAGCCCTGCTCGCGCGTCTGATACTCGTCCGCTAACGCCCTTCTTTCGATGATCTTTTTCTTCAGGGGTCGGTTCTGGCATCTTCCAAGAGCGATCGAGCCCCGAGCCCACTCGCTCGGCATTCAAATCCTCTGTCGAATGCTTCCTGCGACTGGTCCAGACATAACCGCCTTGTTCATCGGTAGTAAACATCATATCCGATCCAGTCCCGCGAGTGAACCCGTCTTCGGCGCCACTCTTGCGCGGTTTACCCAGCCACAACCATTTTGCTCTCTCGCCATTGCAGCACTGTACGAAGGTGTCAAGATCCAGTGTTTCGATATCGGCAATGCCACCTTTGTCGCGCCCACGAACCATCCCCATAACCATTTCACCACCTTGTCCACTGAGCTCCGCCATAGTTGATTTCACTGCATCGGTCCAGCCTTCTGCATTGGCAGCCTTGGCCGTGGCGCGGTGTAACCGGTCCAACGTAAGTCGGTCCAGTCTTCGCGACCGCCTCAATTTTTGAGATTTTTGGAATCCACCGATTCCTCTTTTCAGATTGGGGAAGTCGAATGCGTCTTTCCCCACGGGGGCACCATATGCGTGCAGTCGGTTTCGAGCTCCGAGCAACGTGCCCAGTAACGCAGCGACGCTAGTAGGTCCTAAGCTAGTATCGCCTGGCTCGATGTTGTACAGGTCTGTCCCGATGTCTGTCCACCAATCGCTAACGGCTGCCTCGGTCACATCACAAAGTAGCCCGTCTACATATTCCGGCGCTAGTTTGTCAAACACCATTAAGGCAATCTGGCACTGTCTGACCAATTCCATGACCGCATGGTATAAAGGAACCCTCTCGCTCGTTCGGTATAGCTGATGAAATTTGGCTTCGGTCGCTGGTGAGGGACGTTGAAGCCTCAGGCCCGCACGACCTGCGCACCCAAGTCTCTTTAAGTTTTCATTCACAATAAAGTCTTCCCGGTGTCTTTTGATATCGCCATCTGGTATCGGAATCAGACTCAGGGCAGAAGGAAATGAGGCCAGATCCGTAACCATGACCGTCCCTAATGGTGTTTCCTGCATTCTAGCGTGGCATTGCTTCATGGCGTCAAAGTACATCCGCAACCGAGGTGACCATGTATCCTCATTGGTCGGAACACTCAATACTCCCACAATCACTGTATGCGACGAGTCGCCGGTATAGGTCGTGATGATGAATGTTGGATGCACGCGAGAGCAGGCCCATTGCTCAACGATATAAATTTCATAACCTTGCAGTGTTACACGTCGCTGGAGCACATCGGTCGAGGGGTCTTCTTCAAGATATCGGAGGGCAACCGCATCGGTGAACACAAGTCGCTGATGGCCCTGCGGCGGGGGACATTCGGCTCCGGTTGTGTAGGAGGCGGCCTCCGACAGCACGGAGTCGGTGCGATCGACCGGGGGGACACTCGGGGCGTTTGACTGCATTATGGCTGGTATCCTTTCCAAGCTTATTTGCCAAGGGGACAAAAATGAAAGTAGCGCTAATCATTCAACCCTAAAGCAGGTCACCGCTCCTAAGCTCAAGATGCGAAGGGCCTTTCGATCCTCCTGCACTCTTGGTCAGGTCGGAACAATTGTGGCATTTCCAGGCAACAGGGTTTGAGGCATAGTATTAGCCTAAAGTAACAGGAGCAAGGCAAATGTAATATGGGCTAACACCTTGCAAACCACATAAACCCCCAATGTGTGCAGAAGTGGCGACGTCATCCCGTACATTCTGGTGGACAGATCATGTGACTGTGACTCTATGTCTTGGAGCCTCAGGCATAAACATTTATAATCAGAGCACAGGAGGTCTACTTCTTCCCTTTCCCCCGAGAAAGCTCCTCCCTGGTCAGTTTTCCCATTGGTAAGCTTCCCAATGTGGTATAACCCATAGTCAATTAGCTCCTTTGTTTCATCATTATTCCGCATGAATCAACTCGGGCCGTAGCTCATATATCTTCTGCTTCAATAGCGTCTAAAGGTTTTCAATCGGGTTCAAGTCCGGAGATATAGGCGGCCAATCCATAACTTCAATCTGCATCTTATCTAATGTCTACCTAACAATAATTGCGGTATGTGAAGGCACATTACCATGCTAAAAAAATGCCATCTTCGTATACAATCAGTGGAGGTAGGATTTGACGATATAATTCTTCAGTCACAAAGCGATTAATACCTCCTCTCTCAGATTAAGAGTCACCAAATAGCGGAATCAAGCTAGTTCGCCGGAAATCGCCACAAAAAGCCCCCCAAAACATCTGCTTTACCTACTTAACCCTTACAGGGTAAGCTTTGACATTGCTTCTCTCGAGGCTGATCTCAAGGGCGTATAAGAGTCCACCCCCGTTTAACACTAATACCACGTTCAACAAAGCACTCATCAGACCAATAGACACGGCCCCAATCCTTAGGCGTAAAGTGGCGATACTTTATAGCCTATTGTAGGCGTTTAACCGTGTGAGTGTCAGTTAAATAAGGCCGCTAGGAGCCACGTCACTTCCGCATATTCTTAGCATTTAGAAGGCGTCGAATCGAGTCGTATTTAACCTATAAAAAATGTTAGAAAATGCCTATAATTTTTTTAGAACTAACCTTTTTCACTAACTTTATGCGATACCTCAGCAAGCATATCCTCACGAGTGATTTTCGGGTTCTCGGCGATAGCATGAAGCAGTTTCTCACGATCAGCTTCGTCTAGCTTCTTAGGACGTCCAGTACGGGGCTTTGTGACACCACCGATTCTCTCACGATCTTGTTTGATGGTGTAACGAATTCCAGAGAGAGAAACGAAAGGATATCGCTTCTGAATTCGCTTGTAGCCCCATCCAGCAGCACTATGAAGCTCACAAATACGCTCACGTAACGCTGGGGTGAGCTCACTACGCGGGGCCATCGTGAAATAGCTGGAAAATAGGAGATATAGGGGGTAAAAACGCGGAGAAACGCGATACTATATTAGCTACGCTAGCGTATTAGGGCCGGCGGTAAGGAGGGCGCTAAAGGGGACCCACCATAGGGGGTGTCCAAACTTATGCACCGTCACTGCACATAGTACCGGTATCAGTCCCACCGACAAATTCTTACCAGATCGCAATGCATTTCAACCACTAGTAGTATCTATATACTAACGTATTTCACATGCGAGCCGCCACTACAAGCGAGCCGCCATCTCCAAAACACATAGTAAATGCGATAGATTACAACTTGATATCTCAACAACGGTGGTCTATATTAGCTTTTCCTATTAATTCCACAGTTTTTATATGATATCTAGCTACTTTAGGGAGTTTCAAAGAAGTTGATCTTCTAGTAACTGACATGTATATATTTCTGGAGCCCAGCGACGTAATTTTCAATACGACAACAATGTAAGCTTTCGATTTCCTTAAAATTGCTATATGTCACCCAAAATGCTTATCAATACCTATCTACCTATAGCGGGAATTAAATTAAGTTGTTATGGTTAAAACATGAAGCTATAATTTGTCGCATTTACTATGTGTTTTGGAGATGGCGGCTCGCTTGTGGTGCCGGCTCGCATGTGAAATACGTTCGTTTGCATGCCTACTATCTATCTCTTGCCACAGAAGCTTCATGGTCAGCTTCAGCTAATTCCCTTGTATTTTAGGCCTGCTGTGCAGCTTGTTTCCTTGGCTTTCTTAGCTTGCTTCCTCTAGAACTTCTTAGCTTTGGCCTCATCTTTTTTTAAATCATTCTATTGGCGTATAGAGTGAGTAGGGCGAAATTCCGGGCTCCAATCGATTCACCGTTCTTAGGGCAGCTGTAGCTGATTTGTGGTATTAGGACTTCTGTAAAGATGCCGGCTGCTATTACCACTGCTACTGTCCCTACAGATCTTGCCAATGGGACAAGCATTCGGTGTACCGAGTACCACCAAGTGGCTATTAACGAGATATGCAGCCTGCTCACAGTAAAGATGAGTATTAGTTTAGTGAATTTTCACATTCTGAACCCAGAAGTCAACTCAACAAGCTGCAATAACTTGATACCCGGTGAATTTTACTGTGTGAGGGCAGTTGGAGATGTTAACACTTATTCTAGCTATGAGGGTGCCACTGAGACTAAATGTATGTACAAGGGCACTATTGCTAATTCATGCTTGGCAACTCATCACCTTGCACAGACACCTACTGGGACTTTCCTTCGGCCATGAATGCAACTAGTACGTCCATGGGCGTGTCCGCCATTACCACACTGCCTGTTTCATTGGGGACGGTGTCTCATTGTGCTCAGTACGAGAAATATTACAACCCTGGAGCCAACAGGTCCAATACCTGAACACATGTGACTACATTACCTACTTTATCGATATTACAGTCGATGAACTGTTGCAGCTGAACCCTTCCCTCTCATATAACAACTCCAATCCCAGCGCTTGCTCTTTGCGGAACGGCTAATGCTACTATGTCAGATCGTCGAACGGCATTACCTCAGTCACTACATCCTCCCCTTCGAGCCACGACTGTAACAAATTCTATGATATCGTAGACAGTGGTGGATATTAGATATCGCTCTGAATGACTTCTACAAGTGGAACCCGAGTGCGAAGACTGATCACTCTGGCTTGCAACCTAATTTTTACGTTTGCGTAAGTCTCGGTAGCTAAGAACCTCGTTGGCATTGTTCGTGTTACGGCTCTATCAGACGTAGGACGACATGAACATCCCGATTCGTCCTATCTAGTAGACCGGGCTAGATATGTAGTCACCATAGAATGCAATCTCCATTGTACAACGAATCTCCGTTAGCTACCATGACCTTGAAACCCCCTGATTTTCTTATGTCTCATATCTAACCTGCCATACGTTATTTCCTCTGGTTATATAGTTTTATATCAGAGATCTTGCACTACATCCTTTATGGTAATTTGTCAGCCTCCCGTAGGAAATTCCACTAGCCGGCCGGGGCAACAAAGTAGCCAGAGTAGTACGTCAGAGCGACCACTCTTGGAGTATCTCCCAACTGCCCAAAATCTACGTGCTAACTCCCGAGGTCCTCTACGGCAACCATAACATTGAGAAGCGAGAGTTGATTTTCAAAAGCCATCACCAAAATGCTCGACCGGCGAGATGGCAGGCATAATTCACATTTTTAAATAAAACTATGCCATGTTATGAGCCTATAAATTCGAAAAATCTCCTTCAAGGCTCTAGTATATCCGCCTCCTGAAGCTTTTACCGCCCACCATGCTATAGAAACGTCAGCAAAAGACTCATATGAATGAACGATCTATTCATACTGCTCCCTGAAGACCACCTGGTCTAGCATGTCAACTCTAGTGTTGTCCAGGGCCGCCAAAGCCCCCAGGACCACCCTGGTGCTGCTGTCCTTGGAATCCGCCCTGGAGTCTGCCGAGGCCTTGTTGGTGACCTTGCTAGTGACCGTGGTTCTCGTGTTTCTCGTGCTTATGCTTGTCATGCTTGTCGTGCTTGCATTTGCAGATTATCTTGGGACCTACGAATCGAACATCGATTGATGCTCGGTCTTCAGCCGCTGGGCTTGGCGCTAAGGCTATACGTAGATGCATGTGTACTGGAAGTCTCCTGGCATATGGGTCCGAGCAGACCTGATCATGCCCTCGATCACTGATTATGGCGAGGTTCTCCTTTTCCTGGATACCCGCTGGGGTATATGATGCTGCACGTGATCTGCTAACATATAGATTGGTTGGCTCTCGGTGGCCCATCTGTGTACCCGGTGGGGCACCAACGATTGGCGACGGGTAGTATTTGTGAATCTTAAAACCTTATTTCAAATAATTATAATTTACAATAGTTGTCTAGGCATATACAATAGTCTATCTATCTATGTGGGATTAGTCCCCCTCCACCAAAAATTTTAGCGTATAAATTAGCATGGTATTCAATATGGTATTTTATAAATTCATACTATATTACTTTTTTAGAAACAGGGCTCTTTGAACTCTCAACTCTCAACCCTCAACCCTCAATTTCTTACTATATTATACTATCTTAGTATATAGTAGGCGTTACCTGCTGTCACATGCTTCACCTAGATTTTTACTTTCTTTCTTTGTTTCTAAATTACTACTAAGCCTAATCGGGAAAGAGGTTATTTGCTCATATAGGTTAGCTTCTGCTATTTAATCCCCAGGGATCTATTGCTTGCTTCTTCTTCTTCTTCTTTGATATTTTAGTTGGAATGCACTCTTTTCTTCAAAAGACCTGGCTCGTAACAGTCTTCAGACGACAATTACTTAGCAATAAGCGCGAAAAACATAACGTTATACGCTGAGAAAACTTTGGACTTATACGTACATTAGCGAGGGAAGTAGATTATCGTCATCACCTGCTAAATAAACACTGATTAATCTAGTTGTCTTAATACAGGGAAGGGCTCTGATCTGCAAGGAAATCCATCCAATCGTCCTCGCCCTGGTAGTACACAGCCCGATTAGGGGATCGCCGGGCTAGTAAGCAAAGTATTCCGAGGGTAGACTTTGGCAGAACCCATTTTGGGTTGGGTTGGGTTCGGGTTAGAATGGGCTGTGTCAAAGTCTACCCGAGGGTATTTCCAGGAGCATAGGCTAAAATGGGAAAATTGTAGGTCAATTGAATAATCCCACTGCGAGTTTTGTTATTTGAATAGGATCGAGACCGCTAGGATGAACGATCCGTTGACTACGCCAGTCCTGCATTTTATTGATGTAGCTTACTCAGGCCGCTCATCCCTACATTCAGTGAGCACTCAGTGAGCAAATCAGAGTGCTCAGATGATGATCAGTGAGTGGATCGCGTTGATTATACAATAACCCGTGATCAAGTCAGGGTGCTCAGGGACGTGCTCAGTTTTACTCAGCGATCAAAAAGCGGCAAGATGTGAGTACTAAAACGGAAAGGGAAAGGTCTCGAGTGCCAGGCACTATCCGGTACATATGTACATTTTGAAAAAGAATCGTGAACTGAAACGACGCTATAAGTACCAGCCAAGCGTTCTTTAAAAAAAAGGACCAATCAAGCCACGGGCTAAGGCAGTAGGCTCGTGCTCATCTCGAGTTGTTGATATCCTTTTGGATTGTGGAGATTTCGTTGTGCAGACGGCATCAGATCGACAATCAAAGAAAGAATATATCCAGTAAAGACAAAGGCGATGACTGTGGAGCTAGTTAGTACAATCCAAGGTAGTACAGAGGTAGGGACTATATATACACTTACCCCATTCAAGAGTAGCCGCCATGTTGTTCTGCTGGTAGTGGGTATGCTCAGTTATCCGGAAGACAATGATGAGCCCAAGCTCGACGACAATGAAGGAAGCTTTGATAAGAAAGCTCGTCATGAGCATAGGCTCTCGTAGAGCATGTGCTATGCCTAAGTATATATAATCCAAGCACATCAAGGCCGCGCTGACGAGGAATCCGACACTGCAGCCGTCAGTACATTGTAACGGATAGGTAATATCGATCTTGGTGAGGGACGTACATAAAGATCGTCACGCAGACATCGTGCATAAAATGATGGCCGATGTTGTCGAGGACGGAGAGCATAATTAAGCCGACACTCCCAACAACTGTGAAAAAGAATGAACCATGTGTGCACGTTTTGTTGATATATCCCTTGTTTTGGACATGTTGGTAGAAAGAGAGGTTTAAAAGTAGGACGGTGGTGATACAGCCAATCATGAATAACGGCTTTAGTTCCTGGGCTCCAATATCGGATATGAATCTGTTCAAAAAGCTGTTAGTGAAATCTTGGCACGGCGATCGGGCTGACGGGAAGAGGTTAATTCTCACGGTATGTTCTGGCCAGGCTTCATCAGGCCATATCTCGGTTCACCGATCATAGTCCAGTGGCCCAACATAGCCAGTAGCATGGCTAAATCCATTGTTAGATCATTGGCCAATGCGATCGTGGATGATTGGAGAGCTCACCTAGCCAGGTGGACGCGGCTACGGTCGGAAAGAGCCAGGAAGGGAGCGACATTATGGTGTGTGCGTATAGCTAAGGAGTGTGTTTTGCAGCAGCAGTCATAGTCTTGTTATAGTGATAGTATCAAAGAGCGCGGGCTGGTGAAGTTGGATACCAGCCACATCTCTTTACTCGAGTAGTTGACAAAGAGAGAAAGTGATCCTTACGTTGGGAATCAGGCAACGAGAGATTGTGCCTGTCGATCCCTACTCTCTTGCCCCCATGACGAAGGCCAGCTATGGGTCAGTTATGGTATGTGGGTCTATTAAGGAATTGGTAGCCCCTTGATGGTTGTTTCGTATAAAGAAACACACGTTTCGTATATGAAAGACTATAGTCGTTTTACGAAATTAGCACAAAGATGGTGTATTTTTAAGTCACACTCTTAAAACTTGAGAGGTAGATAATGAAGCTGGCCATGCTTTGACCGATGTCTAGGCAGTGCGATGAAAAGTCTGATTGTTGATCCACCGATCTCCATAAAATAGTTGTTCGAGTGGTTATCCTTCAGTACCATCGGTGGGGGCGGGGCTGGGGATGTGCTCATCGACGGTAGAAAAGCATTGTATTATGCACATGGTAGGGAGTAAGATACCCCAGATGTGGAGGCGGAAATGGTCGCCTCCTGTATCAATCAAGGCTGTATTCTCATTGTGCGCATCCTGTGTCAGTAGTGTATCAGAATTGCATCAAATGCCGATACATAATCCTTGGTGAAAACCTCGAAGAAACTGTGGTTTGAAAGGCAAGTTCCATAAGAATTTGCTGGTCTAGAATCCAGGTGGAAGGCTAGAATAGCCGCCGCTTCCGCTTCCGGGAACTGTGACCGTACCTGCAGCATGATTTCAGATACTGATTTTTAAAAGAGAGAGATGACAGGGACATGTGCGATAACGCAGACTGGTTGGCATGGAATCGAGGATCCCGCTCCCACGGCTTTCGGGCCCACAGTGAGGTATCTAGCTAGTACGATTTCAACAGCTCGACCTGGTTCGACAGCACGGCAACCGTTGTCGGAGAAGAGGACGGATGTGCTTCGTTGATCGGTCGGGAATGTGTCAGTACACCTAAACCGATAAGGTACATAACTGAGTGGTGTTCTATGATACGTCAGTAATGTAATCCCATGACAGATTGGCCCCTGAATTGGAGCACTGAAATGAAGGAGGATATTGATAGCGTATGGAGTCCACTGATAATGTTCGACTAGCGACCAACTAGGCATCAGCCTGGAGTTAGCGAATACATCTGTGAAGTGATTTGACTTATATCATGCAAATTTTCACCGTACAAAAGTGCACAGCCAGAAGATGTAAACCCCGAGGAATTCTCCTCAGGCTTTGGGTATATTACATCAGTGGGGCAGTGCTGAGACTTCAGTGGATGGAACGTAAGGAATCGATGTGGTGACATGGATATGGAATATTAGCAACCAAAGAACACGGTTGAAAATCACTTCTGAGCAAGGGGTGCCAAGGGGAGAATGATCGCCATCGAAGCTGGTGTCAGCAAGGGTAACAGGTCTACAAGGGGGCAAGAAATCACCCCGGGCAACCAACACCGAGACGCGACACAGTTCGCTCTAAGACGCGACAATGATATGATTGGAAAACAAATATTTTATTATAGCCACAGCCATCTAATGATCTCTTCTCTAAGAGCCACCGCATGGGTAACAAGTAGTGAAAAGACTTCAAGATACTCGAGGGTGACCGCGAAGTCTCCCATCCAAGTATCAATCGTACTCGAGGACTCTGAAGAGTCAAGGAGTCGAGGCAGTATTGTTTCAAAAATTCCCAAGCGTGCCAGAAGCTCGCTTGAAGCAGTCAATTTGGTAGTTTTCAACTAGCAAAAACACGATCTCGGATGTCTCCTCACTGATACGTGTAAAACCCGTGCACTAGGATGGAGAAGAAAAAAAAGAAGAGGAATATTTCTGGGGGCCACCGGGTATTTATAATTTTCCACTGGCTGCAGGCAGCAGGACAAACGGGGGTAGGGGACGACCACGGAATAATGATAATCCGAGACAAAGAAAGGAAGGAACGGGAAGGGTGCGGATATATGTTGATCCGAGATAAAAGCCGTTGATAGCCGTAATGGGATGAAAAAAGGCGGTGGCTAATTTTTAAATATAGGGAACACTCGAAGGGTTTTTATATGAGTTGCTTCACTGGGATTTTAACGAAGGTGATGGTATATATGTAGGTAGCAATAGCCACCAAGATAACATTCATCAACCTGAATAACCACTACATTGTAGACTTTTCTTAAGATGATGCTGACCACGAGAGGCCCTGTATTGGATATACATTGGATGAAATAGACATGGATATAAAGTGTGTATGTCTACTATACATGGTATGCCATTTATTCTCACTCGAAGAATATACATGCGCATCTACCACACAGACCACACAGACCACACAGAGTGCTTCATCATCATTTGCCATTCACAAGTCCGGATAGAGGGGTTGAATCACGTGGAAGATCACCCGGAACAGCTCTCTCTGTCGAACGATTTCGTCTATTGTTTCTACTCTAGCATCAT